GTTAGCCACAATTATTAGGACATCGATCTAACAGCGTAGATCAGAGACAAATAAGGAGAAGTGGCTTTTAGAATCCTTGTAATTTGAAACACTGAAAATTTGTTAAGCGACAGATTTGTCTGCTAAAAATATCAATTGTATGTTTAAGATTGCATTAGCTAAATGGAATTAGGCTGTGGCGTTCAACCGAACTTTTATAAACTGAAGGTTTTCAAGAAATAGCATTGAAAATAACGTCAAATATTTGTTGTGATTTATTAACCATAAAAAAGATTAAGAATACTTCATAGAAAGAGGCGCAAACTTCAACCAAACAAAGTAGGAATTTATTAAATTTTAATTTTCAACAGTTTGGAGAATCTTCTCATGTATCTTCACATCCAAGGCAAAATTATACTCGTACGTGATTATCTTCTTGTCACTAATGACATAAACGGACAGGGTTGAAAGACATAAATTGTTTATCATGTTCATTCAGTATCTTTTTAAAGTACTTTACTAACTCTACTTCATTTCCAAAAAGACTAATAACTCGACAGAATGCAAATTTTACTTTTCGTTGTAAAATTATAAACCGAGAAATGATATAAAAAGAACAAAAATAACAACCCAACAGAATAGTGGAGAAATTAAACTCATTGTTTGTCATCATTTGGATTCACGTTACGGCACTTAATAGATAATGGAAATTGTTTACATATTTTACATGCTTTATAATCGAGAGTAAAAATCATTCGCCTTTCCAAAATTCATATTTGCCTTACCTCGCTTCTGCTTTGTAATTTTTTAAAAAGCAAATAAATGCATCCTAATAATGCTGAACTGTGAGATAGAAGAAATATGGATTCTTTTTGAAAATAGAACTTCTGTCGAGCAATTTACCGCCGCCATAATTCATTAAACTATATCAGTGATAGTATTACATCCGAATTCTTTTTGCAAAATCCCGATCTTATAAAATTTTCAACGAAATCCTACTATTGCTAGCAGGAAGCATCCTTGTTTGCCAGTAGGTTAATGATGCTTGTTAAACATTTAATACTGAAAAACACACACACACACACACACACAAAAAAAAAAAAAAAAATTCCCCAAACTCTGGTCTATTTGGATGCGCTAGAAATTCAACAACATCAAAAACCAGTCTAAAAAAGGATCCGGTATTGAGGATGAAAAGTTCACATCAAATTAAAAAATTCATTTTATACACATATAGAAGAGCACTAGAAAGAACAAAAACGAAAACAACATATATATATATATATATATATATATGTCAGAAAGAATTAGATTCTAAAGTAAAACAGATATTCCGATTAAAAAGCTAAAACAACGAAAATACAATATTATGAATGAGACTGATAAATTCAAATCAAATGTTCATTAAATTAGGAAGGAAACATCAATGACTAATAGCAAGAGGAAAGAAATAAAACACACCACAGAATATGCTGAATTTATAACAATATGATAAAATATGCTTTGATAAAAGTTGCTTTAGCACAACGACAGTCAAACTGGGCTGCCTTAGTTTAAAATCACAACTCATTTCACAAGATTACAGTTATGTACATGGACGTACAAAAAAAAAGCAAGAAATGCAAGGTGCAACCCAACTATACGAAAATTACACAACAAAATTTTCTCCCCTTTTCAGTTCTACTCTCAGAACATGTCAAAATTTATTTTCGAAAATACTTTCGAGTAATATGTTAAAAAAATATTTCTACACCTCTTCAGGAAAATATTTTGAAGGAAATATTCGAAACAAAAAATGACTAGAAACTTAAATTCAATGGATATTTCTTTTTGATTCATACAGAAGGATTACACAACATATAATGGAGTCTGCGCGACTAAACTTCAGCAGCAACTGTTCGAACCTCCTAGTGCCTGATTACTACCAGGAGAATTGGGTGAACTTGGAGAATGCTGTGGTCCAAGTTTAATTCCATTTGCCTGCAACATACTCCAGAATTAAAATGAACATACTGCAAACACATGAGATGAACTGAGAACGACAGAAAATTGCTGCATTTCACGAACAAAAGCAATAACGGAATCAGACTGACAATCATTTTTATATCAAGTAGTATGAACTCGTAGCTTGTATACCCCCTAGCTTACTTTGTGTACCCTTTCCCCAGCAGTTCTTTTGGATGAACCGTGAGGTAAAATCGATAATTTAATTACCAAAGAATAAAGGAAAAGATTTAATAACTTCCGCCCAACTACTGCTTGACGATTATTACTAATTAAGTTTCTTCTGCGAAAGAAACATTTACAGCCGCATAACGAAATGTATTTCACTGTAATATTGGACACAATCGTGGAGAGCCATCATATTATTCTATTGCTAAAAACTTTCAAAATTCTTAAAACGCACCTCATTATTGATATCAAAAACACCTTCTTGTATTTTCCGATAAATTTCTTTTGCAGTGTCGATGAATGCCTGAAAATAAATAAGATTCCGGAACCATTTCTAAATCATAAAAATAAAGCAGCATCCGAATGACTATGTTCAAGATGACAAGATGCAATAAAAAATATGCGACCTCTTCCACGTTTGCTGCGGTTTTTGCAGATGTTTCCATAAAAATTAAACCATGCTCACGTGCGAACGCCTCTCCTTCTTCTTTCTTCACTTCTCGTCGCGCTTCCAAATCACTGAAAAATTATTCTTGTACAATAATACAAATCATTCTACAGAAAGACTGAAAATTTGTGCCTCATAATTCCTCATAACCCACTTTTTGATCATGCAAAATAATGACAAACACAGAAACTGCTTCTATTTTAAATTTGGACAAATGAAAGCGAAGTGGTGGCAAGAGCAATAATAACAAGCAAACACTATAAGGATTTTAAACTGAATAGTCAGATTTACATTTCATATCAGCAGAATTTCGACCAAGGTTTTCTTCATTGCTTAACTGTTTAATTTGAAATCACTACTCAATCTCAATCCCCAACTTAACTGCAATAGCAGTATTAAAATATGTTAAAACATCGCATAAACGTTTAAGAGGCTCCAGTTTTCTCTTGCAGTTTTGCAAAAGAATTTAAGCCATCCAAATTTTAATATCAAGGCTGGTAATTTCAACCATTTTCGTAAAGAACATATGTAAGGTGATATTTGATGTACAATAATGCTACCCTAAGGAAAAAATGACATTAATGATTGAATACACCGTTTTGGCATTATCAATAAACCTTTCGGGTAATAAAATCAGTTCAGAATTCAGTACAACCTTTTATTCCCAATGAGCATAATGACCATATTAGAATTTGAATGCTGTCGTGCGTCTTCTAACCAAGAAGCCAAATGATTGAATGTATCACGCCTGAAAAGCATTACATTTCAATCCTTTCCATCATGTAAAAATAAGATTGCAGTGTGACTAAAATTTGATTTTACCAAAACATTACCGTGTTATGTCATAAACAAGAAGTGCGCCTGCTGCTCCACGATAATATGAGCGCGTTATTGAACGGAACGATTCCTGACCTAGAACTCATCAAAAATTTGCAAATGCTTATGAAAGTGCAAAAACTGATAATTTCAAATGAAACACAGACAAATAAACATACCAGCCGTATCCCAAATCTGTAGTTTAATTTGTTTACTATCGATAGTAATCATACGAGCGCCAAATTCTACACCTGAAATGTTGTATTTGGAAATCATGACCAATAGCAGATTACTTAAAAATCTGAAAGCAAATCATGTTTAATTTTCGCAAAGCATGACCTTTCATTTATTGTCAATATTGGTGGAATAAGTATAGAGATCACTGCACAACTCGCTATTGAGTGTTTGAGTCTTTCAGCCTTAATAGACTAAAATTCACGAAAAATAGACTAAAATTTTTTCTTAGTAGACTAAAATTTCGAAAAATTCCTGTACAATTACTAAAAAAATGCTCCATTTCAGCATCCTTCAACATATGACAGTACTCTGTTAAGGTATTCTTTAACATATAATAGTATCTACTACTAAAACAAATGATAAGCAATAAGTGTAATAGAAATATCCAAATCAGCGTTAAATTATATACCAATTGTCAAGTCATGCACTGGTTGGAAGCGCTTGTCAGTGAACTGAAGAAGGAGACATGACTTTCCTACTCCTGAAATGCATCAATTTATAAAAATATGCTGCTATAACAACAACAAAGTAAAAATAAACTTTACCGGCTCCTTACCAATTCCATTCCCATGGTAATGAATCTTTTCTTTATTAAACCATAGTTGGTCTCATCAGGATAAAGTCTCAGAATAAGGAAACTGACACATATATGCGAGAAACTGGTTGAAAACAACCATACCTGTGTCTCCTATTATGATATACTTGAAGAGATATGCGTATGACATGCGTACTGAAAGTAACAAACTGCTGTGAAAAACGAATCAATCTCTTCTTTTTTTTGAAACAGCGTAAAACTTTCACAAAGATCCCATCTTCCTCTCCATAATTCCCCGCATAAAACCAGTCTATCAATTGCCAATCATCTCAATAAGTCAGGAAACAAGCGAAATATTATGAGAGAGACAGAGGCGGAAGAATCTTGACCCCTCCAACTCGACCAACCCACAAAAACTACCGAAGGTACCCAAATACCACCAGAAACCAACCACAAAGTGACAGCGTTGAGACTTGCTGAAGCCAACATCGATTAATGAACATTAGGCGGTACCGTACCACAAGGAATATATGGCAGAGACCATCGAACAGATAACAGCTCAATATGATGCAGTTGACACTACTGGTATGTTGAGCAAGCGGGCAGTCAACCGGACAGTGGGATTTCTACAGTAGTGGAGTGAATATGAGACAACTTGGGAGGGACATTTTAGGGGACGTGAAATACTACTCAGAGATATCCTTCAGCTGTTAAATAAAGTAATATGCAAATTTACTTACCAGAAACATAATATTGTGGAAGAGAAGAGAATGGATCATTTCACACATTTTCATCTTTTGACTCGCTGTTTGAATGGCGATAAGATTATCTGCGGGAGGTGCATCTGAGAGAGAAGTTATGCTGAAAAAAGAAAGAAAAGGTGTAAATTAGAATGATCTTTCTATTACCAAAAGTAATTAATTAATTGTTGTTGAAGTTAATGAACTGAATTTGAACGATTCTTCCTGTTCCAAATCGTTTTTATCAGTTTTAGTTTCTTTCTTTTTAGACAGAAAAAAGATTGCAAGTGAGAAAAAGTTGCAAGAGAATAGCAGTGATGATGAGAAGAAAGAAGTACAGCAGCAAATACCAACCATAGAAGCAAAAAGTGCTAATGCAAATGAGAAAATAACAAGTACTGATGTGGCCAGTGGTAACAAAGCCGCCGCAAACGTGTAGCGTGTATTACACACTTCACTCTTCTGATATTCTAGTCTTTAAGTGATTTAGTATCGTAACATGAACTTGATAACACAATAGATTCCTGCGCTTTTGGATTATTATCTGAAGTATCTAACATAGGTCACTCAGGTCATTTCGTATAGTTAAGTACCTTAATAGCCTCAATTTGTTTAGATCAACAGGATTACCACGTGATTTGCTTGTTGAACGTGAACAAAGTGGACGAATACAATCTTTGACAAAATTCATCTATCATCATGGTTATCTATGTAATCGTACAGTAACTGCATGGAGTATGTTATTATGATAACTTATCATATTGACAATTGATTTGTTAAATGCACTTTTCAAAAAATATTTGTGAAGATATGAAGAGAACAGAACAACGGAGATAGGTTGGTCACTGCTGAAAATTGAAAGTTTTCATAGTGGTGACCTTGAGAATGCTGATAATAATAATGATAAATGATAACGACAATAATATTCAGTTATTACGATCTCATATTTGCTATGCATATACATTTTTCTTGCGTTACTAGTGACTGCGGGCATATATATGTTGTTATACACTACCCGAGATGCACCAGTGTACTACGGCGAGACTACTTTCATTGGTGGTATTCCAGGTGTTATTATCATTTATTTCTTAAAAAGACTTGTAATCCGTTGAGACTTGAAAAAGTCATTGAAATTTGCAAAATTGTTTTTTTTTTCTACTAATTTCTAAGGTTGAATTAAAGCTATAATTAGTAATTATGTCTCCAACTTAAAAAGTATATATATGTGTATGGTACTTCATTCAGGGATTGGTTTTGAACCCCGAAAGCGAAGTATGAAAAAAGAGCAAAATATTTTTAGATGGAATATTGATGATCCAACATCATATGCTTTTTATGTGCGAAGGCTGCGGAGAATTCTGTATGGTAAGTTACAGCACCAAATGAATTTACAGCTCACTTTATTATCTGTCAAATTTTAGAATATGCGAAGATGGAGATAATACCCAGCAAATTCAAAATAGATTGCAAGAAAACAGTTGTACCGTACGTGGGTGGAAAACCTGTAAAACATTTCTGCAAAGTAGAAGCAACCAATACGGACGAGAATTACGGTTATGGTGATTGTGCTTTAAGCAAGAAAGTTTTTGTTTTGCACTTCTGCTTGTATAAGACAAAGGTCAAAGATCATCCCATATCTACTTTATATATTTTGAACAATGTTGAGCAATGGTGAAACAAATATCTTAGAAATTTTCGAATAATAAAATAAAACCATATGCAGTGGCTAACTAACTTTAGACGATGAGTTTATCATAAGTCTGATCTTAAATGATAACTTTGAAGTAATGTATGTGATCAATATTCAAAACACAGCTACTGCACTAAAATTGCCAGTAATTTTGAAGAGATTGAGATTCCTTTTTTTTATTTAATAACTTAAATTTTCTAGGAAAACTAGGTTTGGATATGATATTGGTACACTTTGTGTTATGCTGCGCATAAATAAGGTATACTTTGCTTGAGTTTAATATGTTACTTTATATATAACTTTTAGAATCGTTATCGGTGAGAAACTATAATAAAATGATCAATTAGTTGTCAATTGTCGAAGCTGTTTGCTTGAGATTTGAGATTAGAAGTGATAGGTTGTAAATTCAACAAACAACATGATAAATCTTATATTACAAGATTTCTTCCTAAAAGCTTCACGGACGGAAGCTTCATGTCTTGTAGTTTGCATTTTGATTCTGATAGTAATCGCATTTCAAACTATTTTAATAAAAGATCTTCTATAATACAAAAAACTGTTTGCCATCCATCCAAACCAACATTCTTCAGTACTTAATTACTTATGCTTTAGTTATTTGGTTATTATCCAGAAAGTCCAACATATGACTTGTTTGCTAACAGTTCGCTAGATTTTGAAGCACATAAAATATGTGACCAAGTAGCGAATGTAACAGCTTGCTGCAACGATGACCGAATGTTGTTCCAGTGTTCTGTCATGGTACCACTTTTTAAGATTTTGATTAAACCTAAAGTTTCAACATTTCCATTATCCTTTCTTATTATTTATCATTAAAATAAATATTTTCTTGTAAGAACTACTTCTGCACGCCTTGCAAAGTTTGAAATCATAACTTATGTCGTTGTCAGTCACTCTTACAAATTGCTATAATTAACTTGCTACTTTAATTAATTTGTCCAAATAGCAAGCAGAAAGCAGTATAATTAAAAATGCTTCTTAGCTTTTATGTAAGCTTAAGAATAGTTCCGAGACGGATATAAGTTTAAGGATATATTTTAAAAAAGATAAGAAATTAATGCAGATTTCATCATTTCCTTCATATATAAGATAATATACAGAAGAACTAGCAATATTATTAATTACTTTTCAACTAAAATTAATTTGATGATTTCAAGGAAGGAAATACAAATGTAACTATAGCACAATATCCAAAATTTGGTTATCCCTATTGCTTCTATCCGTTCAATAATCAAGACGGTTATATGCAACCATTTGTCATGATCCAATTGTTCAACTTGATACCGAATAAGAGAGTAATATTTTGTCGGGATGAGTTAAATTTCATATTTCCTGCCAAAAGAAATTGAAGTTGGGAGATTGGAACTAATATAATTATATACAAAAAAGTTGGGAGATTAGAACTAGTATAATTATATACAAAACGTCAGTAAATCAAGTATGAAATGTCAAATTTTTTCTGATTTTCATTTTTTTTTCTTATTCTGGAGTATTCAATAATTCTTGGAAAATGCATTAATAAAGTTGAAATTTGCTACAGACTGGAATCCAATGTGTGCCAACAGCACCGGACCTTCAGGCAAGATCACTCATATTATGGTTTGAAATTACATCAAAAAGAAAAAATTAAATATATGCAAAATTGACTATTGTATTTTCGATATATAAAAATTTCGATTAAAGGAAAAGAATACAATTAATCTAGTAATTCATATTTTCAATCGTACATTATGTTATTATCTAAATTATAATATGATGTCAGGAATGATTTAACATTTCATTGAAAAATTCTATCAGCTAATAATATTCAATTTCTTTAGCAACATTATACAATAGCTCCTACATTGTTTATAACATTTCAAAATTCCAGTAAAGCTCCCATTGCCGTTATCTCTGAAATTAAGAGAAGTGACAATTAAAATAATAAAATTGAAAGAAGAACAACACGCAAAAACTTTCAACAGTTCTTATTCTGACGGACATTACATAGAAATGGCTGAAGAGCACACGGAAAATTGAAGCACTTGTTTGGTATTTCCTTTCTGTCAGATCTGAACTATTCATAAAATCAGAAATTTTCAATTGAATTTTTTCCCTTTGCTTTATTAAAATCCCATCCTTGGTATATCAAATTAAAAATTAGTGTAATTGGAGAAGTGCATAGTGTGTAGCTCATCATCCAGTTCACGTGAGAGTTATTAGTTAATTTCAAGTTTAAAAAAATGCTATACTTTTATTTAAAAATTTATTTCAATTCAATTTTTCATTACAATTTTTGGACCTGAATCTGAATCAGTAGAATTTTAATTTGTTTGACCTGAAAATTTCAATCGCTCAGACAGTACCCTAATTGCTGTATATCACTGTGATAGATTAATCTGAATATATTTACTTACACACTTTGACAATTTGCTCTCATTCTTGAATATGCTATGTTTAAAATTCAAATTTTATACATTCATCAAAAAATCAATGAAACTTCAATATCTTCTTTCCTTTTTTATGTATATACAGTAAGAAATGTGTCCTATTAATTCTCTTTACTTTTCATTTTGACAGCGATGTAGCAATGAGAGTGCAAATTAGCTTGTCGAGCGCTAACAATCATTAATCGCTCACCACCTATTCGTTTTTACCTTTTTCTTTTTTTTTCAGTAAGAAAGTGAGAAAAAAATAAAACTGAGCTAACTGCACTAAAACTTGGAACTGAAATAGCTGTTGGGCCAACTTCATCTGAAGGTATGCCGAAGAAAAGTAATGTTATTAACATGTAGTAACGCAGCGCAATGTCTTCTACAAATTCCAATAATTTGCAGAAAGTGGGAAGTAATGAAATCCGCTGCATAAATAAATCAATCTCATTTTAATTTTTTGATAAATTCAAATCATTTCTAAGTGCGGTTCTACGGGTACTAGTAGTACTCTATTCTCATGGTCCTCAAAAATTATAAACAGAGTTATATGTCATTTAAAAAACGTTGGATGATTTTAACTTATATAACTTTAAGCTTTCAATGTATTTTGAAAATGTGGAACATCCTTGCCATTTTGAAATTTACTTTAACTCATAAGTAAGAACTGTTGCTATCGAGTGGGCATGATATAGTGAAAGGATATATGATCTTTCGTAAGCAGCAGAACTGACAAGAAGTTAGAATCATTACTATACTGTGCATAGAAATGTTATAAGAAGAGAACTTTATCATGAAGTGTACAGTTTGATAATTCAAGTTAAGATATCAAAAGAAAAAAAAAGAAGAAAAAGACTTCCTTCATTGAATTAATACCCGTAATGATACTGATAATATAACGAATCGTAGATCCTTAACCTAAAAAAAGGTTATCCGTCAGTCCTCTTTCTTTAGTAAAAATAAAGCCATCTTTACAATTAATTGCAAAGTTTAAAAGAAATTTTGAAGGGACTTAATAGCAACAAGCATACTCATAAGAAGATCAAATTGAAATCAATTTAAATCTACACCGACCCTATTCACTTGGTGACGTAATTGTATCGTCGTCCTCTAGCTCTCCAAGTTGTCTCAACTGCTCTTGCAATTCCCATAATATACTAGTCTTCTAAAAAAGGTTTTGTTCTCTTAAAAGATAATCGTCTAAGTGATATAAAAAGAGTGCTTGTATTTAAAAAGATTATATTAAACAAATTTTCCTTCAAATAATTGTCACATAATAAAGGAGGGAAGAGTGCAAAAATCATAATAACAGTAATCAAAATTTGAAATTTAATTGTTGCAAGTCAAATCATCATAAAATTTTTGTGGCGCTTTTTATCAGATGCATTTACCTGAAGTAAATATCGATGTAATAATATATTCTCTTCTTCCAAACGTTGTAAGTGCTCTCGCCTAAAGATATTTGTTGCGCTAAAAACATCTCATTGAAAAGTGGAAATAAATTGTAAGATAGATTGAATAGACTGAAATAAAAGTTAAATTGGTCGAAGTTACAGTTATTCAGCGAACCGAAGGTTTTAATTGTGTCTTAGTTAAGCAGTTGAAATTTTGAGCACCATATTGTTATTAGCGCTTCCATGAATACAATGATACATTTTCAAGAGGTCAATATTAGTGAAATTACTGATTGATATTGCAATTGCTGAGCGATTTTGATAGAGTTAGAAAAAAAATTGGTTTTATCCTTATAAAACAATCTTGAACATTCTAACGTTTAGTAAAAAATAAACAATTTACTCATTGTGTTGTGAAGTTTGCTGTGATTCTGATCGTCCAAGAGTAGATTTTACTAGACCACGTCGATAACGTAACTCAGTGCCTTGAGGATTTCGTAGAAGTTCCACAATCTAAAATGCCGGAAATTATTGTTTACTTAAATGTCACTGTTAATTAATTATTTTTGTTTATAATTTCACCAGTAAAAAATTGAGCCACTCAAAAACGACATCAAAGCAATTATTACATCAATCCTCAAAGTCACAAATAGGAAATTAGAATTAGTATAATTTTGCCCTTGAAATTTCTCGCTGGCACTGTCAAATAGTAAAAGTAATGGCTTCTAAAATTTTTTAATTAAAGCGAACCAAAGAAAAAGTATTCTGAAAACAATATTTTGGAAAAATTTTAACTTACCTTTGGAACAAAAACAAGGCAAAGAATCAAAGTTGTACAAAATATAATAAAAAGACTTCCCAGTATATGCGCTTCATTTACTTGATCCTAAAATTAAGTTATCATTCATGAAATAAAGGTCGGTTTTTATCAGTAATAAAATTAGTCATCATGTACTGCAAAAATGCTACAATTCAAAACGTAAGAAACAATGTGATATAATGTGATCGATCAACCTTTCAGTTTGCGATAAAATTAACCTTCAATATGTACACAAGCGGAAGACCAAGTAAGCATGTTACGACAACACTATAAACAGACATTCCTATATATTTACTGTCGTTTAATGCTGGTACATTTACACGTCTCGTTTCCCACGCCAGAAAACAGCCAAGTAACTAAAAGTTAGCATTTGTTTAAATAATCCTTATTTAAATTCAAGAAAATTTCATTGAAATTAAATGGGAATAAAATAAAGGCTAAAAAAGCAAATTAAATGAAATGATTAACCCACCATAAGAAGGCCTTTAATACCCAATATGATAGCTTCAAAAATGACGCTATTATCACTTCTACAACGCTCGATTTCTGGTGCTATCATCTTGTTATCTGAATACTGCAAAGATATGTATTATTATGGCCATCTTTTTACATTATTCAAAATGAGAATATCATAATTTATATCGCATTGTATGCATCCGTTCCAACCTAATTTTGACGTGTCACCTATGGCAATTGGAAGTTAAAGTCTTTTTTGTTTTAATTTGAATAAGGCTGACTAGTTTGTGACAGTAATATATTGTGGACTTACAAATATAGCTAACTGGTTGACATGAAATGTGAAAGGTGAAATACGAGCCCATAAGGCTAATGAAACCAAATCAACGAGAACAATGAAGCCGACCAACATGAATAATTTATAATCTTTAATTGCTTTCTTGTTCATACGAATATTTTTGAAAATCAAATGAACTCGCCAAGTCTTTGAGAACATTGATCCGAAAGCTAGTGTAAAACCAAGGCTTAGTACCCATGTTTTTACCTGGAATATAATAATTACTTCCTTACTATAAGGTAGTTTTAATTTACGAAGAGAATACTTCTGCGAATGAAAACAATTTTGTTAAACAAGACATTTTTTTTTTCTTATCAGTTTTTAAAACTAGCTGGAAGAGAAGAGTGGGTGGATGGGAAAAAAATTAGGAGACGATCAATTTGCTGCAATATTTTGTGTAACGCATTCGTTTTTACATTCAAACACTTCGTTTGAAGAGGTCAAGTCAAGAAATTTTCATCGATTCGACACTTATTTTAAAAAGTATGAAAAGTATTGTCTGGGTTGAATGAAAAGGTAGAGTTGATAAGAGTAATTAGCATACGTAACAAAGTGTAACAAAAGTGTCCGGTGAAACGAAACGTGTATCGAAGCCAAGTAGAATTACGCTGATATAAGTGCAAATGGAACCTGCTATGATTAGATTGTTCATATTTGGTGATGACATCTTGATATATCTGTAAAAAAAGTAATAAATTATTCGTTACATTCATGATATACAATTTAATGCTGCACGTTACACGAGAATTTCATTAATATGAAACGTGTATGAGCAACGTAAGAGTTATTCAAATTCCTAATTTTATACTAAAATATTTCCAAATGAGTTCAGATGTTTGAATTTTTGTTCCTTTCAGGAGTTGTAACGTTTAGTAACAAACATTGCAGGAAATAAAATAATGACTTTTCCTCACGTCTTAAACGTTTGGCTTACCGATGATTTTGATATCTGATATTAATGATGAGAAAGAAAACTGCAATTGCTACACCGATAATAGCAAGTAATGATAAGAAGATGAATAACACGAATGATATATATTGTCGTTCACGCACAACAACTGTTGCATCTAACGGTGGTGTCCAATCTGAAAACTTTACGTAAAGACAATTTAATTATTATCAGAAATGCTTCCACAAAATTTCATATCGAAAAAAAACTTATAAGACCTAGAAGAATATGATCAATCATTTTTTTAATTCAAACTTTGCCAAACCTATAACTTGCTCTTTCTTCATTTTACTTGAACAACTTTTCAGTACCTCGAAGAGCAGGATTGAGTGTTAGGACAGCTTCTGTACCATCATATATGCCAGCAATCATGTACGAACCATTTCGCCATTGCAAAATTTCAACTAATCCAAGTCGTTCGTTATTTTCAAATCGAACTGGTCCCTGTCAGATGGAATGCTAATAATGACAAAAGAAAGGAATGCAAAATTCATTCCATTGTTTCACATGAAAACGTGAATATGTATAAACTAAGATCACTAGTATAACACATATACGTTAAAGTAAAGAACGTTTATTTGCTCAAAATGAAAATACAATTGGTGTAATTATAAAAAGGAATTTGCTGTCATGTCATGCAATCAAAGTGTGAAGTGGACAATAGCTACCAGTCATTTATAAATTCGAAGAAAAGTTGTCTACGTACAGTGACACCAATAAATGAAGTGCTGCTGATAGCTTGAAGTAATTCGGCACTAAGTTTAGTCCAATCCTCTGTATCGCTCACGTTTGGTATCCAAGTGATTCCATCACGTTGTTGATGAAGTTGTGCTACGTGTTCAATAGCTAAAGAAAGTGTCCAGAGGCCATCGTACACGTATCCTTTGAAAACACTTTCCGGTGATGATCCTTGTCTATCATCAAGTTCCGTTCGAATTGCCGATACCGTCTGTTATAATACTTTCATTTATTTTGTTAATTAATTTCTTTACTTCAATAAGCAGTCACAGACAGTAAGACGCATTTATTTACTCCAATTAGTTCAAAAACTTCGGATCCAATCTGGTATCCAAGTGACTGTATCACGTTGTTGATGAAGTTGTGTTGTGCTATGTGTTTAATAGCTAAAGAAAGTGTCCAAAGGTGTTTCATTTGTCGCTTTTTGCTAAAACTGCTGGAAATGCCTATGATACTGATCTAATAATCTAAAATGAACTAACTTTATTGGCAATGGTAAGTCGAGCAAGCCTTTGTGAGTAGGGTGAAAATTCAACCGCAAAGTGACCTTCGATTACCTTTGCCAGTTCTTCTACTGTACAGCTGACTCCGGATGCATTACGCCACCAATCACCTAAACACCAACCTTTCCCACATTTAACATCCATTTCTGAACTGTGCCAGAACTTACAACGTTAGACTAAAATTGTATTTAAACATTCAGTATGCAATCGATGTTGAACAGAACCAAGCGGATCTTTAATTATTTGCTGTATTTACTCACTAATTAAACTTTATAAAAACATGAAATTGAAAGAAATCATGGTAGCGTATGTTTTATATTCTTGAGAAATGTGTCACATCTTAAATTCGTAAATAAGCATCTGTGACAGGTTAAGTCTAGTATCAGCAGCAATAGCAGTAATTCCAGTCTCAAAGTAAATGTCGTCATTGATGCGATTAAAGAGCTCATAGTTGGATCTAAATTCAGCACCTGATATTATCCATTGGATAAAAGCTGAACTCTTAGGCTAGTGTTATCAGTCTTCACCTTGATTGATTACTGGCTCATCTTGGCTAGTAAGTTCATCTTGCAAATCTTTTTTTGTACGAAGCAACTCATTGCTTGTCTCATTTCACTGTTTAATTAAATAAATGGCAATTACATGGATGTATTGCAAATTTTACTGAGTTATTTTCTGCCTTTATTCTTTTGTTCGTAACTATCGATTTTCTGTAAATTAGGTAAGAACTTTTGAAGAGGGCGTGAACACTTGCAATTAAGGTTGTGACTAGTCCTCAGAGAATGTTAGCATTTGCACTGTGATTACACGTAAATTCTAAATATACGTAAAAAATATATATACATATAAATGATTATAGTTACGCTAGCATGTGTGTTAATATAGTATAGCGTGCAGATGATTTAACCTTGCGTGAAACTTAAAAGACTTACTTTTATGATAACCAGGTAATATCCATGCATAATTTTCACCATAGATACCATTTTGGTAAGCTTCACATAATATTCGCACGGCTAATGATTCTTCAAAATCACCGATGAGAATTCGTGCGTCACGTTTCTGAACAGTGGAATATCCAAATTTCAAAATTTCCTATCTAAATATCTGATTGTAAGCTATGTTCTACATTTCAACATCGTTAAATCAATGTCTCAAAATCATTGTCAAAAAAAAAAAAAAAAAAATTGATTGCTTTGCAGTTTATTGATCTAGTTTAGACCTCGAAAATGGTTGCATCTTACTTTTCAATTTTCATTTGCTCAAGCAGTCAGTCATGAGTGTTATATCAAAGAAAAAATGTCATTTTTTGAATCAATGAAAATTAAAACCTTCAATTCATTAAGTTCATAACCGATATTTTGAATTTCATCATGTGTGATTCCAGCAGTATATATCACTCGGATACCAAATCCATGCTCTAGTCGCGTTGTTAATGATTCATGTGGCTTTAAAGTAAATTATAGATCATTTAAGACTTTCTTAACTGCTAAGAAAGATTGAGAGTTTTTAGACGGAAAAGAGATTGTAATCGAGCGCTTAGAGTGTATATATGGGATTGGAAAAGGTATTGAACATCTCTGAAAGATGAAAAAAATAGATCAAAAGAGCTTCCAAAAAAAAAGAAAAAAAAAATGAAAGAGAATTATATCTCAATACATTGTTTACTGCGATATCTCTAGGCTAGTGGCAAATGTGATTAGCAAGACTTAACATTGTGATTTATGGCTGTCAATTCATTTCGTCCATTTAGTAAATTGTATCGTTAAAATTAGCTTATTTCAATTAATTTTCATTATTTTCTGAACATTAATCAAGTTCAAAATTAAATTTGATAAGTTTCCGTAATTTTGAATTCATTAAATAGTTATCGCTTTATCTAACTTTGTATTTTCCACTTACAAGTGCGAAACGTGGATCATCGCTTTGTTTTAGTGTACCAACACGTGTCCAATTAAATTGAAAAATTAGATGACATCGTGCTAAATTAGAATTCTGATATCCTGGTACCATTCGAAAAAACGTTGGATACATCTAGAATTTCAATGCACTAATATAAAAATCATCTTAAACAAGCGTTATTGCATGTCATCATAGCTTCCTATTCTAATAAGTCAAAAAGCAAATATTTTGCTCCAAAAACAATTTTTTAAGCAAATTTCAAGAATCTACCAAAGACTGTGAGCACAAATATCAAACGAGATTAAACTAGTTCAGAATGATGCCTTTTGAGAGTATTATGTTTCTTCAGCATTAGTAGCTACGTTATCGGAAGAAATAAATTTTCATTTGACTAAATGCGCCATTAAAATTGTCTTTGAAAATGTTCGTGGAAGCAATTTCATTAGTTAAGAAGAAACAAAAAAGTAAGTCACTTCTATAATTACTTCTATAATCTGTTGCTATAAATTTGCATTTTTAATCTGAAACTCCAACGTGCTCTCAGATAAGTTGAAAATGCTTTTTGCATTAGTTCTTGTTTTCAGTTGAATTATAAGTGGAACAACATAATTACAATTTCATTTAAAATCTCTTCGATCATTTAATTTGCAGTTTTGCTAACAAATTAAAAAAGAGTATTACTGCTAATTTATTGCTTGATATCAGATCAGAACGGATCTGTTTAGGTGACTGGTAAGAATGATATGATTATCGAAAGTTAAGCATTTAAACTGCTAAAATCCAACCGCCTGAGCATCTGCTGTGGCAAATTTTGCGTGTATTTCTGCATACGACAAATGTAAAATATGCCAATACTTAGATGCCATAGCGACAACTTCGTTGACATTCGTGCATGCATCACCAAAAAGCGCAAATGGTCGCGGACGTGCATTCATTAGCTCGAACAATGCTTTCATTCCGAACGATGTTTTGCACTACAATTTAGAAAAATTCAGTGCATATAAGTTAGAAAGTAATTGATTGGCTCTGAAATTACTCATAAGATTCAAAGTTAACTTTGAAAAATACTTTGGAATAGGTCGTTCTTCAAATTTTCACTATTAATTTCACTATTAAATTATGGAATGAAGAGATGAAGAACTCGAGAGTAACTCTCGAGTAGAGAAAAAAGTGGAGAAGAAAGTTTCAATATAATTCGGAAATTTGAACTCTGGTTTTCAGACTTTTTTACACTATAAAGCTTTTAACTTTTGAAAATTCTGTTTTTGCGCTGAAAAATTGAATTCTACATCGAAAAATGAAATTTTGTGAAAAATAAATGGATAAATTCAATTGATTTACTCTTTTTCTTTACAAAACATTTCAATCGTTTTTAATTTTTATTTAGTTGAAATAACCGAACATTTCCATTCCTATGAACAATTTGAAGTAAAGCTAAAGAGGAAGACAATTGAAATGAGTTGAATTGATTACTACAATTTGTCATTACATCACTTTAATTGACTTTTGAAATTCCCGAAAATACTTCCTTTGAAGTAATGGGCAATGTTCTTTTATAAATTGATGTAGAAGACAAATCAGATAAAATTTCTTCAAAAATATTCAAAAATTTATTTTAGCGGATATAATTTTTGAATTAAAATTGAAAAATATTCAAAATCGATTGACCGTTGGCAAAAAGAACTATGATAACATCAATAAATCAAACAAGTATCAGGAAACCTCGGTATCCTTGAAATGCAATTTCAAATAGTAGTCGTTCAGGATGCAGGACTGATTGTGGATGTGTTCCAGGGCTATGTTAACAGCAGGCTCCAATACTCGTTTATATTGATATGGCAAGAAGACGCCGATTGTTAACGGTATTCGATTCACGCGACGTAATCTCTGGCAGTCTTGGCTATAGCCAAACCATATTTGCGCCATTAGTAATGGGCATATTAAGCAATGCATACTTTTGCACTAAGAAAGGGAATAAATGAAGTAAATAACGTGAAATAGTAAAATGGGAAGAATTGTTTAAAGTTGCATTATATTACAAGGCAGTAAAATGTTAGCAAATGAATAGACCACTGGATTTCATTGAGCTGAAATTAAATTGAAATGAGTTTGAAATGAATTGAGTTGAATCTAATTAAAATGAATTAAAGTTAAATTAGACCAGGTATAAGCTGAATGAAAAAAAGTCAAGTGCACATGAAATGAGCTAATTTAGTGTTTTATTTAAATGCTGCTAATTGATTTGATCTAAAAGAAAATTAACCAATAATTTCTGGATGATAATCAGTGATAAACATTTGATTCTCTTTTTATGACAAACGTTCACATTTGACCAATTCGTGCTTCAGAAAAAGACTAACCGCGGCATAACTTAAGCATTTATGAAAAGTTAAAAGCCAGTACTAACTCTTAGCAGAATGAGTTATTCATAAATGCAAATGTAAATATTGCTTTAAATTAGAACTATGGCTAATATTTAAAAGATATATCAAAATATTATTAATAGTATCATTTTTGCCTTGGTGAATTAAACCGAAGAAAAGTAATTGAATTTACAGTCATATCTAAAATGAATTTTTTAATTAACATCATTATTAAAATAACATCAAAATAATATCAGACGATAGAAAAATAAGTACAGAATTGTTTGTATGATATAAAGTAGAATTAAATTTACATATTTTAAAAGCTAGAAAAGGACATTTTTTCGAAGCTAGTTGAAGACATCAATAAAGATATGATAGGATATGCCTCGAAATGACGATCTTCAGATCTCATTGATAACAATTACCATCTCTACTATCTCAGTTCATAATTAACAGACTATTGATAAGCATGAAATTCTGTACTGTTGAAGTGAATAGCATCATTTACTGAATTTTTTTTTCTCCATATATAATTTTAACAAAAAACAAATCGATTTTTTCTTGTTTTCTCAAATGTCATTAGTCTTTTTGCCAAATAGATTATTAAATTTCTGAAAATCTAAAATGGTAGAGTTATTTTGCATTTGCATACAAAATTCTGAATAGATTAATCTAATTGCTGTAAAATATCATTTGTTGAAGCAATGGTAGTTGCGGTACCTTGAATGTTCCATTGGATTAATCAAATTTGATAACTTAAATTCAGGTATGAATGTTTATGTGAACAATAAATGGTATTATACTAAACAATAAAATAGCTTTAGTCTTGTTAGGACCAGTAAATTCGAGAATTTCATAGGCATGAAGATTATCAAGGTGCTTTTGTCGATCAACAAATCTTTCCCAAATGTTTATGTCGCATGATTTGTCCTTTGGGAATAAATTCGGAAAGTCATGTATGTTGGATTGCACTCCAAGATAACCATTTATAGTCGTCGTTTATCATCGAAGTGTATTGTTCAATTGTCACCGACTAAAGTGAACGTAAAAGCTTTGTACTGAGAGATACCTTTGGGATAAGTTCTATTGTTTCAGTACTTCTGAAAATTTTGGGAATGCTTTTTTTGGATGCCCTTAAAAAATGATTTCTATGGGAGAACTTTTTGAAACTAAAATAAAGTTAGAAAGGAAGAATTTGAAAGTACATTTAAAAAAAAAATTACGTCTAAAACGAAACCAAATTTTTTGCGTTGAAATTAAATTTTGGCACTGCATGTACGAAAATCAATGTATGCTAGAGCTTAAATTGAATGATATATTCACAATAAGCTTTGCACTGACTGATAAATTGAAGTAAATATTTGAACAGTTGGAATTGTGAGTGTTTTCTAAGCGATGTGAATGCTCAGCCACGATTAGCATGCAGTTTCATCATTTGCACCTGCATTCATACTATCAGTGTATATAATAGGATAAAATTAATTGTTCATCATTACTACTACTATAAACTGATTTAATTAATTAAGTGACAATATCTCAAAAGGGAAGTGTGTCATTAGTAAAACAAAACGATCTATAAAAATTAAAATGTTATCGAGAAAAATAGCTGTTTGCTATATGTTCGGGTATATTTCACAAATATAACATTGAAAAATGCTAATTAGTCACGGAATCAAGACGTTCGATAAGCACAAATGATTTTTTGAAAAAAAGAAAAAGGAGATGAGTAGAAGAAGAATAACGACTACTTCAAGGTTTGGTTAGAAATTCGAATTTCGAAAACTAATACCGAAATTGACACAAACAAATAATAATTTGTTTACCAAAGATCAATTTTTTTTTAATTCAACAATAAAACAATAAAATTAGGGGGAAATGATCAAAACTTACGCGGAAACAATGACGTAAACAAGGGATGGCAAAAAATAAGCGTAAATAAGACAAAGATTTTGTTATAGAAATCATCAGCTGTGGCAAATAGAAAACTTTTGATTATATACGGATCACCTGTTCATTGGGTAATTCATCATTAAGAAAGCTGGCAAAATAGACCGGGGCGGTAATTCTTCCTACACTTCCGATATAAAATAGCAGCATTAGTTTCTTGTAGCTCTAACTCTCAACAACAACCACCTCATAAACAAAATGATGTTGTTTCGAGGGGATGATGAGAAGAAGGGACGGGCGGGATGGCAGAAAGAATGTCTTCTCTTTCTTATGCTTCAGTGAATTGATTTAAAACTTGACAAAATCATAGTTTTGTTTTTGATTAAATCTAAGTACATTCGATGCATCAAAGTTTATTCAAGAAAAAAGTTTAATTAACATTTTAATTTCTACTTCTCATCAGCATATTAGTGTAAAGTAACATATTCCATGATTTCTGTAATTTGCAATACCGCAACACACTGTTCTTTCTCTACACCTGTTTCTTTCTTTTTTTTTTCGTTTGAAAATTACATTCCATATTTATTCTGTAAATTATCAGTAAGTGAAATTTGCTAATAGTAAATTATGGTCACGAAAATGTAAAAATCCTAGTAAATGTGGGATCAGTCAGAAAGGAGACAAGTAGCTTAGTTAATCTGTGCTAATGTGATAGCAATTTTTGGAATAACACAGCATTAAGAAGATCCAAATATTTGCTGTCGCTTGGGAGGGTGTTGATATTTCATCTGTCCCAGTTATTATGGACTCCCAAGAGATATATGCATAAGAATGAGCCAAAAACTCATAGAAACTTGCGAAAAAGCTCTCATTCAATATCGCATATTTTCCATTTTCTATCCTTTCAATCCTTTCCCTGTCTCTTTCTTTTCTCTCTCTCTCTTCCAGTCCCCTCAAACAACTAAATATCTTTTTCATTTCATCATTTGAACGGATCTGAATATCATTAAATCTATCATTTAATATTCATGACTGAATCATTCCTAAAAGATATCTTCTTAAATGAACAAAAAGAATCAAAAAATTAAAGATGAAAGCTTAGCATTGTCATTTTTGAAGCAGTGATTTTGAAAAGATCTGTCACATTTAGAATGACAAAATTGCGAAACATTAAAGGCCATTAACGACGACTAATTCGGCAAATTTAATCAGAAGATCTTTTCCTTGCAAGAATAAGAAATTGTCCCAGGGATAAAAGAAGAGACAGTAAGGCTTTTTAGGTTATGTACACTAACATTTCAATTGCATCAAAGTAATTAGCTTTTAGTATGATCAAAATGGTATGTTTTATGTGTAAAACAAAAAAAACGAAGCACAGAATTTTAAATGAAATATAATTAGCTTCATTAAATAAATTAATAAAGCCATTCATAAAAAAATTGTCAATAGTAAAGAATAAATGAAGAAAGAGTAGAGATGACAAGAAAACACAAAAAAGTGTACTATTGATAACTTTGTAATGTACAACGAAGTAAACTATCATAAATACATGTACAAATAATTCTCAAAAAAATTATGCTTGAGGAACTGCATAAATGCAAAATGCCTTGTAGAAAATAAACAATAAAGTAAAGTAAAGAAATAGCATGGATAGAACAATGAGTAATCACATCGTTTGAAAAGCGCTAATATCCAATGAGATCATTTCAATTAGTTGGAATTTCAATTTTTATATTATCAACAAACACCACTGATTACAGTTCGTATTGCAATTATTATTATTACTAATAAACGACTTTTTTTAAACTCAAAACAAATTTTTCCTCATTTAGCAGCTTTTTCATTGCTTTTAACACTTGAAAAATACGACGAATAAATTTAACTTGAAAAAAAAAAAAGCTCAATTTATAACATTTTCGTTCTGTCAATGTCATTTTCAGTGTTTCCTTTTTTTTTTTTCATTTTAGCACAATTATTGTCAATTGATGAATTGATTATTCCTGATGAAACGGTAGGTCTGCCTTTGATGATTTTGATGAGAATATTTAATAAACCACCAAAAGATGTCAATCATGCAAGATTCATTTGTTTTATTTGTATTTGTCACAGTATTACTTCAAAAAAAAAAAAAAATAGGAATAAAAAGAAGAAAAGAGAAGAAAGATAAAAGATATTTGTCCAAACAATATTTGCTGCTGTCATTTAATCAAATGAATAAAATTGCATCAACATATTTGGACTAAAATATACATACGATCAATAAGGGAAATGAAGATACACTTTCTGAGCTAAGAATTAGCCAATTATGGATGACACATCAGAAAATTTATTTTCAAGTTGTTGCATAAAACTTTGTCATTTACGTTTGTTGTTTGTTGAATTTTATTTGTCTACAACTTTGTTAGTCTCCTTTTCTACATAATAATATCTCACCAAGTATTGGTACTTTTATTATTGATAACCGGAATATACGATTTATTTATAATCAAAATAAGACTTGAGTTGAAATAAATTGAAAAACTTGAAATTAAATATATCATAAATGGAAATGTTAATTAAATTGTAATATGAAGAAGATAAATTTTTATTATAATAAAAAAGATTATCTTCTTTTATCTTTATTGTAAATTCGAATTTTGCGTACACAAGATTAAATCCCTTCAATAATAATCTAAGGAAGAAGATCAATTGCAGATATTTATCGACTAGCAATTGATTCAACACCAATTAACATTTTTAACAGAACGTTGATAAAATAATAAGCTGAACATATGCTGCAAATTTGAAAAAATCAAGAAAAAGAAAATTAAATAAACATTCTATTCCTTTAATCATTTATTTATTTAGAAGCAGAGAAATACACATCATTTAAATCTCTGAAACATTGGCGCTTCTTTTCCATAATGTAAATAGCACATATTGTTGTTTGTTTTTATTACGCATATATTATTAGTTGGCGCAGTTAGCATATGTGATTCCATTTGAATGAAGTGAAAATGCATTGACAACTTCTTTCTAACTTCCTGCCATTTTCTTCACCGAAACAGCTCCAAAATCCCAAAGGTACTTCAAAATAAATCTAATTTAACAGCACTTTGCATAAATTTCAATTTAGTAAAATATCCGTGTTTCTCTCGTTAATCACTAAAAGCTTAAAGAATCTTGCTTTGAAAAAAAGACGTTTAAAAAAGTTACTAGGAAAAGAACTAAAGAGGAGATAGATTAAGTTATAGTTTTTTTGTTCTAAACTAATTACTGCATACTTTTAATACTTAGGATGTTGAATAGTTTAATTGAGTCTTTAAAAAATTAACTTTGGAAAGTTTCGTTTTCGGTTTGATATCATATATTTTCCATAAAAGCAATCGAACCATATTGTATATGAACAAAAGAATTGTAAAACCATTTTAGCCGTTGCGTTATTTGTTTTGTGATTCAATAGGCACTGAAACATCCCAAGCTTGTTAATAATCTGAAAAAATACTTGACCAAAAAAGTTAAAATTTATGCTTAAGGCTAAACTGTAAATATTTGGAAATACTGAAATTCTCACTGATTGGACAACATCGCATAAATCTGCTGGTGACAAATTTGTGATGCCATAATTACTGATTTGTATTTTTTCTGAATTCATTCTTTTATGACTTTTGGCTCATTTCTATTGTCGATTAACATAATATTTAGCGATGGGATGAAAGCAAAGAAGAAAAGATCACTTCCTCACGAGATTATAGTCGACTACTTCACGATGATATGGCAAGTTGCAGGTCTTTCATTTTCAGTTTATACTCATTGCAATATATCAGATTATCATAGGAATAATAATGTAAGCATAAATTGCTAGTCACTTTGAACTAACTACAAAATTGGAATATCAAATTTGTTAGTCACAAAATGGGAATAAAATTAGTCGAACAAAAATTTTGATTCAGTGGTATGCATCACATAAATTGTCATTTGAACAAAGTAATTTAAACAGTTTTACTTTTCTTCATTAACTGTTGTCAAGAAAATTGCTTAAACACTCTCAATGAACTTTTCTACTTCATTTAATGCTCCAAAGTTTATCTAAATAGTCTTGTCTGCCTTGAATCAACTTTAAATTTTCATAACTATTTCTATGCCTTAAAACCTTAACTGTTTTAATGGATACTGCAACTGAATGGTTGGGTGGTTAAATTTAGTTCAATTTGTCACAAATCAAAGAGATTAGGATAAAAAGTGATTGACTTTTATTTATAATGAAATGGCTTCAATTTTGCTATAACTTTAAACACAAGAGTTTGACTCTTAATTGCTGCATACTTTAACTTGATTTGATTTAACTTAGATCTAACATATTAGCACAATGTGTTCGTGAATGTGATCCCATGTAACCAGTCATTTAATGTTTTAGTTCATTGAATTATAAATTAATTTATGCATGTGGAATTTTCAGTTTGCTGTGCTATAAGATTTCATCACATCGCGGTCAATTATACCAAGCTTAAAAATAGCAGAAAACACTCATTTATCATAGTAGAAGTGCTTTTAAGTATGTAGAGAAATGATGTATTCCTCTTTCCATAGATTTTGATACGCAGTATTGGCTAATATATTTCTATTGATCTTCCGGTCCGAGTTTGACCTCCTTATCCAGGATGTTTCATTAATCTTAAAAGGCTTTATTCATACATTTAAGTAAGACTGCATAAATACGCTGTTGTTGAAATGAAAATATTTCAGTCATTTCATATCTGCGAAATAACTGATAGAAATTTAGAGATTGTCTTTTTTTTGGAAGAAAAAGAGAACAGAGCCAAGTGGTTAACACGATTGAAAGAGAAAAGGACTATTCTTTTTTAAGGCTAGCAAGCTAAATTGTAAGGCTGATTACTTTATATGTCTAAGCAAAAAAGTATTAAGACGATTGAATGAATTTCCTCATTTACCTCACTATCAAGCATGAAACTAACAACCTAAAGGAAAGAAGGAACACATTGTATTCATAATTTATCAACATTTGCTTCGTCATAAAGGTCACAGAATTTAAGCTTCATTTCTTGTCATCTAGCGCATGACTTAGTTTAAACACAAGCACATATATAATTGAGTGGTCACTGGCAACGGTGATAATAATGATTAGATTTAAATGATAATATGAGTATATTTAGAATAAATCAAATATTAAAAAAAAAAAAAAAAAACGAATAAGAGGATTTAAGATATATAATTATTGTTGCAAAAAAGGGAGAAGAGTTCAGAGAAGAGTTTGAGTGGCTATAAGAGCATTAAGAAAAATTCCGAAAGATTTGGGAATATATCTGGAAGGATCAGGAGAGACAGGAAAATAACTGCACTGCACAGCTTTATTGAGAATTACAAATTTCTTGAAAACGTATTCGATCTCTTTCAGAGATATCAGTCTACATCACTGATATCTCTGAAAAAAAAAGCTCTGGCTTAAAAAATGCTTCCAGTTAATCCATAATAATAAGAAACAGAAAAAGATAACAAATAAGAAATTCGGAGGAAAAGAGAAAATCTTGTTGTAATAATTGTAAAGATTTGATAGCGATTTAATCTTTTTAAGCTAAAAGAGCATTTTACACTCACTTAGACTTTATAAACTGAGAGATCAAATTGGCATTGGGAAGTAAGAAATGACCAAAAAATACGTAGAAATTTCAACTTACTAAATCAATTTTCATCTCATTGTTATTGATTATTAATAAGATCTTTAATCGATATTATATGATCCATGAAATTCTGGCTATTACCATACGGTCTTATTTTTGTTATACTTTTTTCTGCGAAATTAATTATGCTTTTCAATTTAACACGTTTTTATATACACTTCAACTAATTTATTATTTTTCCTCCTTTGAGTTAGTGCAACATATTTTTTTAACTTCAAAAGCATCAAATTAGTTGTCAAATTCTTGCAGTTATGACCAACGGATTTTTTTTCCTCAGAATTTCCTATTTGGTATTCCTTTTTTAAACGTTCGTTCATCCGAAGAGCCAGTTGGCCAGATCGGAAGTTTGAAGTATTTGACATGAAGAAGATCCCTAATTAAATTAAGCATGTATTTGAAATGATTGCTGATTTAAAGTTAAACCATATATTACAAGGGATTTTAATAATTTCAATATATACCTGTAGTTCGAATATGGTTTCATGATCAACTGACATTATTGATATTCAGAAGAGTACAGTTATCTTTCATCCACCCAACTTGTGAATCAAAAGAATTTTATTTTGTGTCTTTCTTTTCTTATTTCAATATTTTGCTTTAAACCTCTCGAGACTTTACCAGTTATCAAGACTGTCCATTTTCCTGAGCCTATTCGCCCCGTTGAAATAAGTTGGAGAGACAAGATAATAAATTCTGTATAATCTACCACTAATCAAGCTTTTGATACTTTGGACAGTCTCACTGTAGTATGCTAAAGAAGATTAGAATTGACCCGTACCTACTGATCTAAAATCTCCCAAACTGTTTCATTGCTTGCTACAACTACATTAGTTTAACTTTTACCACTCATCACTGTGAATGTATTGCTACTACAATAGTGCTACCAGCATAACATCATTAGCACTCCCCTTCTAAAAGCAACTCTGCTACTGTAGGATACAGTAGTTCTGCCTCAATGCACTAGAAGACTACCGTAACCGATATGATCATTCCTGTCCCATCTGGATTGTGGTTGACTGTCATCGTGGCATATTAAGCTAGTCTACTGGCTGATGGATCGAATGATTTTCGAACGTGCTAAAAATATCCCGACTGATGTTGTTGGTGTGGGATGTGCAGGGTGATGAGGGGTTATCGATTAGTATGGTTTGATAAGCATTTGGAGATTTTGGGGGAATGTAATAAATAAATTTTAGATTGTCTCCAACTCTGACCTTTAATTTTCATAATGATCATACCGCCTAAGTTAACCTTTGACCTTTTTGCTACAACAATACATCATTGAGCTAATTACTTGTCATCAGTTGTTCCTCTCTCGCTTACTAAGATATCTTCCTTCGTCAATCTAATTATTTGTTGTTGATAAGCATGAGGATACTAGCTCGGATCATGTCAGTGGAAAAAGCATGTATATGGTAGTCGATATTACTAGAGCTGATCAGCCAGAATTGATTGTTTTCCTCAATATCGAAAAGTCGGAGTTGTTGATACGATGTCTGATTCCATATTGACATTAGTTCGCTTAAATTGGCATACCATACCAGTTAACAAACTGTTATTTATTTTAGAAATGATAAGGATCGGAGGAGAGGGAGGGTAAGCTAAATTTAAGCGGAGGAGTGGAGGGAGGAAGTCACTTCAATTACAGCTTTTTTTATTGTCATCGGTGTGTCGTAACCTGTACAGTTCTATCGCAAAGTTTCGTACTTTCTTAACTCATTCTTTTGTTTTGTTAGGCAGGAATTAGCAAATTATGATAAATTTAAGTTATTTATATGTTTGACAAATTTTTATAACGTTGGCAACTTTGCTCATTTATTCCTTATGCTTATTAATATTGTTTGTTTTATATTATTCATTTTTATCGTGAAGTTGAATTCATTTGTAATTGTTGCACAGAATCTTCCTGTAATGATTTATAAAATCAATATGCAAATTCCTTCGTCTTTTTGTCAAAATTTTACTATTTTTATTTTTAGACAGTTAAGTTTTTTCATGGGTCGCATGAATCAAAGGTATAGTATTTCGCGTTTATTGAGGTGGAGTAATGCGAGGTTGTTGGTAATCTAGCGCTATGAATGGTAGCATGGAAGTTCAACAAACGAAGAATGTAGAAGTGAAAAGTCTCGTATATCGGGTTTGTTACAGAATGCAAACAAATCGAAATTTTGTTAGAGGGATAGAATTAGGAAACTTCTTTTAAGTCTCTCTTATTGTTAAGCGATAATTATAGAAGCGATAAACAAATAGAAAAATCGAGTAAATAATAAAACATTAATTAAATAAAACGCTGGCTTAGAATAGAAAACGAAATTATTAAAGAGAATCAAGTGCTGTTTAATTGTCAAATGAAATAGTTTTGTTTTGTTCCTGCATTTTTTTTTTTTCATCTAAAGTCGTTGCAACATTTGGATGTTCTATCTCGAAGTCTCAAATAAACAAATATGGTATTGCTTATTAATGGCATGTAATATATTTTTGTATTTATCTGGACAGTTAAAACTCGATTAATTAATTTCAGATTATAAACGATAAAAAGAGTTACTCCAAAGATGAGCGCATTGCTGCATGCGAACAACTTCAGCAAGCTTTTACACTTGCTAGTGATGTTTCTGTATGTATTATTAGTATTATTAGGGAAAATATTATCAATAGTATAGCGGAACTGACTGTAATTTTATTTCTTAGTATGTGAGACAGTTATTGAGTTTGATAATGTGATAATGAATAAAATTAATAACCATTCATTTCTTCTAATAATTATTAACGTAATTTCAAAAAATTCAGGAAACTTCGATGGTTGACAAGTTTTTAAATGGAGGTAGAAAACTTCTTCAGTGGTGTAACGTATTTTCTTTTGCAGAATATTGGATGTGACTGGAAGAAACTAATGGAAGATTTGTTGTACTGCATTAAAACTCGGCAACAGTTCGAAGTGAAACGCTGTGTTTCTGATTGCCTTGGATCTTTGGGTTGTATCATGTTTTCGCAATATAATGAGTAAGTCTACGACTAGAAATTTCTCATACTGTTAGTGATTTCGTTGACGGTGGTGTTTACTGTTTGTTAGTAGGAAATTTTTTGAATTTCAGATATCTAAAAGTGATGCTGGGTGAAGCGAAGCTTATTCCCGACAGATATGAAGATGACAAAGCGCTGGTATTGAAAGCTATCTTTTCGTCATTGAATTTAATTGGAACTTTTGCATGGCAGTCTCGTATCAAGCCTCAGGATGTCGATGTATGTTATCCCGTCTTACATAATATTTGATTTTTACCCGAGAATTACAAGCTTCCCCCGCTACAAGTTCTTGCTCTTTATATTGTTCTTTAGGAGAGCTTTCATTTTAAATTCATGTCAGTATACTTTCTTGTTTCATATTTTTTATTACCATTTCTAGGCACTTATGACTGCAGTAAAGAACTGGCTTGAAGTGAACGATTCCTCCATCGTTCTTATATCATTGTTGGATACCTGTTTAGCAGTCTCTAAATACTTTCCTGCAATCTTTAAGCATAGCTTTGATGTCAGTTTACTAATTTTTGTTCTTATATGCTTAATAATATCCTTTCCACACCAGTAGTTACGTTTTGAATTCCATTCATTAATTTATTCGTATGATCAAAATATGATTAAATTAATATACAGGAATCCCTTATTTTCCCTTTTTTTTCTATGCATTTTTTTACGAAGCAATTTTTCATACTAATAAGTTGAAAATATCTCCAATGGATTTATCGCTGTTTGGATTCATTTTAACAATAGGCTTACGGTATATATTTCATTCTAATTTGTATTTTAGAAAACACTAAAAATTGGATTTTTGATGTGCAATAATCTTGCACTGTGATCTGATTTTTCAGCAATAAGAATTAAGCACCTTTTGACTAATATAGACAACCATCCTTAGGATGTAGTCGATTTTACTGTGGGTTGGTATATCGAACCAGAACAACCGATTGCAGTGTTAGATAAATGTCATCAGATGCTTGTTGAACTACGCCCCTACTGGTACAGTGCTGTACCGGCTGCAATAACGCTTATGAAACAGTTTCTTGATGATGCGAGTGCTTATATTGAGGTAGTTCCAAGAATAAAATTAAAACCTTATTACCGATCAGATTCTTGACTTTAACTACTCTTTGAATTTCGCCTCTAGTTTTATTGTACAACTTTGTAGCCTTATTTTATTTCATTTTAGCTTGCATTCTGCGAAAAATCATTGTTTTCCTTCTAGTTATTTCTTCATAACACTGTTAATTTGCAGGATATCAGGGTGAATGAGTCGACACCAGAAAATATGCTCGCAAAAACGGCCGCCATCTTGCGGGCTTTGTCAACTATGCTTGAAGTAATGAATACTCCTGTCAGCCCACTTGTAATAGATTTTACTGAAAAGGTTACTGTTTATTTATGCTGCAAATTAGTGCACAATTTTCTTAAACTCTTCGAAATTTTAAAAAGTAATTCAGTTATTTGTTTTATTTTTCTTGGAGTGTTGTTAATTTTCTGTTTTATGGGATGTTATTAATTCTGTTTTCATTTGGTTAATTCTCTTTAATATGCTTCTTGATATGTTTAATTTTTGAACACTGAATTTGTCCTATGTGAACCTTCAGAAAAATTCATTTAGGTTTTTTATTGATTTATCGATGATCATAACAGATGTACAATGAGATTCATTGAACTATATATGAACTGTTTCTGTCGGATTTTTAGAAATGATTTTTCTAAATTTTACTGGGATAACAAGTTAGTGTGAACCTTTTGAGGTTTTTGGACGCATCATTCGATTGTTGACTCATCTTAGCGATGTTTTTGCTGCCAAAATTGGAACTGTGTTTGGACACATGGCTGAAGTTCTTTATGTAGCATTAAAAGCGTACCCGAAACTTGATTTTTTGATTAATTCGATGAAAGCTTTAAAAATAATGTTTGAACACCCGTCCGTAGACGAAAAATCGATGCTAAAGATACTTGGATGCAGTGGAAAGGTAAAGTGTTTGTTTTTTGAATTTTCCATTCATTTTTTAAAATATAGAATAGCATGGATTTCTATTTATTGACGTTATGCCAGCTTCATGTACTGTACTTTACATTTAAATTACTGAAAAATGGTTTTTAACATTCCTAACACTAGTAATGCGTTGTAGAGAGAGTAGAGCACTAATGAAGTGAATTATCGATGGTTCATAGTTTACCAATTAGCTTGGCTGGTTTTTTCCTTGAAATTTTATAATTACTGGAGTTTCAATTGTACTTAAAAGTTGATTCTATTTTAATAAAGTTTATATTTGTAGATTATTGATAATATAACTCCTGAAATGGTTGTGGAAATTGTGGATTATATTGTCGGTGATGGTGGACCTTTGAACCATGTTATTATAAGGTCGCAGAGAGTTATGCAAGCATATGGCAATGTTTTAGGAAAGCTTTTAGCACCAAAAAATTTGTCGACGCTCCAAGTAGTTTATAATCGAGTTCGAGAAGATGTTCGAAGTAAGTCCTCCTCCTTCACGTAGTTAGTTCATTGTCATATGGCACCAAGTAAAATTTTGGTTTTTTATTCGTGCTTACTGAATTTTTTTTTTTTTTTTTAGAAATGAAGCTGATTTTTAATTATTAAATGCATTTGTTACATGTCAGCCTAAAAACACTAATTTTTGATGATTTGTACTTAAATATAGATTCTACAAATCAGTCATGTTTCATTACGGTTGTACCAAGTTATATTGCAGATTGTTTAAATATACTGCAAGCAACTGAAATAGAGGCATATTCCAGCAATAATGTAGTGACAGAAAAAAAGCTAATGATATATTTCAATGCTCTTTACAGTCTTGGAATTGTTAAAAATTCACTTATTGCTGTACGTTTTTCTATTTTTAAACGTTTATGAGCTTCATCTGTTGTCTATACTCAGGGTTTTTGATTGTTGTAGTGTGCAATGTGTCAGTAATCATCTTCTTTTGAAAGGAAATTTGTCAAATTAATGTCAGTCTTGCTTGGAAAAGTTCTTACATTGCTTGTATAATAAGGCATTAAATATTTCCAGATGGTGGGTCTTTCACCAAGTCTCTTTACATTTCTAATGACGGAAACGCCAATCACCACGAAACAGTTTATCATTAATCATCCTGGATGCCATTATGCTCTGCTTTACATTGTAAAAGCGCATAGTGAAAAGTATGCTTTTTTTTGCTTTGCATTTTTTTTTTTTTGCTAATAATGCTATTAAGTTGACCAATTTTAATTTTTACTCAGCAAAAATACTCTAACTGCTGATGCCCACATACTTCCTTTCAAAAACAGTTTTTGTGATAATAGTTGTCAGTAATTTCAGATCACTAGATTTGGTGTTCACTGAACTATCACTTTTTAATATACCATAATAAAACACCTATTTATGAATTTGGAAATTTTGCGTATTTTGTAGAAGTGGGTCAATAAAAAATATTTCAGACATGAAAATTTTGTTGCTAATAGCAATTTGCTAATTGATAAAAACAGTTTAACACTTGTTACCGAACCAGCAACAGCAAAACATACTACCACGATACTAAATACAGTAACGAAACTGCTTGTCCTTGATGATTTATTGTGGACAGATACAAGGTGATTTTTGTCCTAGTTCTGTCTAGTTTTATTCAGTATTACTAGATTTTTTGTGTTGCAAAACTTTAGTATAATGATTTCCAGTAGTATTGTTTCGAGGTAAAATTTGTTCATTAAGTCTTTTCAAAAATGTCGAACCGTCAAACTGTTCTGTCTGATTGAAACTTTTCAACTTTATTTAGAAATCTACTTGTTGATTGGATTCATGGCTTAGTTTTCTCGCTTACACAAGATGTTCTACAACATATACTTAATAAACCAGAAACGATCGAAATGAGGGCAGCATTGCTGGATTCATTCGTGAGACATTCACTGCCAAAGAAAACATCGCTGGATAACAAAATTTTTAGTAATCCAGAAGCTTTTGTTGTTCATTGGTGTGCGGGTATTAGTTTTGCTTTTCATAATATACTGTTGTGCAGTTAATCTCCTGTAGCAGTAATATTTCAACTGAAAAAACTTTTCATGAAATATGGCGCTTCGTTTTGGTAGGCTAGAAACAAAGAAAGATGTATTAGCATAATTTTTTAACGTCCAAAAAAGAAACTGTTAATCAACTGAAACTATTTGGCTAATCTAAATTACTAACATTTGAAACATTAATGAATTATTGAACCGGTTCCATTATAACACCGTAATAAGATGCATTAGATAAATAATAATTCCTTTGATTATAGACATATCTGAGTAGCTTTTTTATCAAAATGCACAAATTTTAGCAACAACAAGTCATCGAGTTAGACATTTTACCTTACTTCGACGATTGGCCGTTTTTAACTTGATTAAGAACGAAAAACCTGAAGTGACAGCAAAGTTCGTTAGACATATCTTTGAACAGTGTCATTCGGGTTGTCAGAATAAAATAACTGGTATATGGCAAGCTACTCCTCCAGTACTTTTCATCAGGTGAATTCACATTTATTACATTTTCGTTCCTTTATTGTTCAATAGGCATTGCATAGAATTCGAATGTGGTTAAGGTACTTAATTTTGATCTCCAATGATTTTAACACTTCAGATTTTTTTTTGAGTTTTTTAAGTATAATTTTTTTTTTTCAAATTCTACTCCCAATCAATTTTCAACTAATAAAAATGGAGTTGTCTTCATATTTTAAGGTTTATGTTTTTTTTTTTTTCTCATTGAAAAAATATGATTGCAGAAACATTTGTTCTTTTAAAATGAGTTTTTAAAATGATTTTTTTTTTAAAAATAGTTTTGTCAAGGAAGGAAATTTTCTTTTAGATATTGATAAATTTGTAAATGTATCGATCGCTTTATTGCTATTCTTTGTTAACTAATTTCCAAGCTTCTTTTTTGGGAGCTTTGTTGATTAAAAGAAAACAAACGCTTGTTAATCTGTGCACTAGATATGGATCCTGCAGTTATTTAAGTACAATTTCTGAATTTTCCAGTTAATTTATCTCTTTCTGCATGACAGTTCTGCTTAATTGTGAGATATTTGTTTAAAGAATGAGATGGTGTTTGCATGTTTCGAATAACGAATTAGCTCAAATTAGCCAAATTACCAGTCGAATAATTGATGAAGCTTTAAAAAAATTTATTTTATAATGTGTTGTTCAATATTAAAATTATTTTGTTTTAAAGGAAGCAATCTTTGGTGGAAAGCAATATCATAATCTTTGAACTGAGGAACTGAGAATTTGTTTTCACTCCATAAATAAATATTTAGTAGTTTATTTTATGTTCGATATGTTAACTTTTTGTTGGCATCGGGTCTGCATGATTTTGAAATGTGTTGTTGTTAATTACAATTAATGGCATTGAGACTTCGTAATTTAAACCCGGACCTCCAGAAAACAAACGATGGAGATTCTCAGATAATGTTTAGGAATTCGTCAGCATTAAGCATTTATGGAATATTTTCTGCCAGTGTTTTGGAAAGAGATGGGTATGATTTCAGGAACGGATTGACGGAGTGTGTGCAGGATTTAATGGAATTTGGACAACAGAAAATATCCGAAAGTTTGTTCACATCAGAACATTTCAAGATTTTTGCTGACTTTTTGCTGAATTCGGTTCTCCCCACATACTGCTTTAACAAGTTTGTATTTTAGACCTTTCCTTTACTTTTTCAAAAATTCCACATCGGCAAAAATTTTTTTTCCTCTTGTTATTATATTAAATTATATGTTTACGATTTATTATCATTAGTTACTCAGTATTTGTTACTGTTATGCCGATCGCTATCCCTTGTTAGCACTGCTTTCCAGTCATATCTTTTTATATCATCCTTTAACTGGATAGTAACAAAATAGTTCTTTATTACAGCTGATTTTATGGAAAAAACTGCTTCATCTCATATTTGTCTGGTTCATTTTTGAGTTAATTATCAAGTAAAGCAAAAAGAAAATGAAGAAGCAAGTGGAAGAAATATAGTTTTATCAGTCAAAAAATTTTTAGCATCGATGATGGATATTGGATATCAGATACGGCCGCAACTATTTATGCAGGTGCCATGGGTGACATCAATACGAATATTGATTGTATATCTAAGTGGAGGTGGATAATTGCACAAATGGCCCAATTTTGTGTAAATAATCGCTTTAAAACACCACTTGGCAAACCGCTGGATACTTTTCTTGCTTTTGAAAGTAACTTTTAATTAATTGCCTTGAATTTTATTAAATATCAGTCATATACATTATTTCCATCACATTTGCTCGAAATATATGACTATGCATTTATTGTTGTCATTATCTTGTACTTTTCTTGAATTCCTCCTTAGTTCATCCAACTATTTATTCACAATTGACTTTCCATCTTTAAATCTTTGTTTCACTTTAGATTTTGTTTTGTATTGTATCAGCACTTCCATTATCTTAGGGTTTTCAAAAACAGCTGTAGAATATTTGTACTTTGTTGAATACAATTAGAATAATAGAAATTTCTGTATGATGTTATTGTGTAAGTTACATCTCAAAATTTCTTCTTGAGAATGAATTAATATATTTAGTAGTTTATTGTAGTGCTTGTCTTTTATGCACCACTACCTCACCCTGCAATTATCAACTTTCAGTTTTAATTTCAACTCTTGGATTTAAATTTCATTTCAAATATTCATATATTTTAGACGAAATACGACGATTAGCTGGTAATGCTCTTTCACGAAAACCACTACCTATTAGCAAAAGCGCTAAAGATGAAGTAGTACAGAAAACGGTTGCGGTAAGTAGAAGAGGTGCTGTTGAGGATGAAGATGAAGCAGAGATGGAGATTGAACGTGAAGCACGTCAGCTAACAACTTCGGAGCAGTGGTGGCGTGTTCGTACCTTGTTGGATATGATTGAAGTATTGGACAAATTGATAGTTTACGCATGTCATGGGGCTATATTTCAGTTATCTACGGTTTCACAAGTTAGTAGTGAATTCGATATTAAAGGGAAGTTCTGTCGAAAACTGGTATTGATATAAAGGAACGCAAAGGACGTTTCGTAATTGAATTTTCCTTAAAGATTAATAAAATTATTGTTTAAATCAGTTGCCATTGGCATTTATTATTATATAATATTTCCACCCAAGTACCTTGTAAATGTTCAGCATTCTTTCTGATATGAACTTTAGCAATGTGTGAGACCTGTAATTTTCACATCTTTCTCGGGTGAAACAAAATGAAACATTGTCTTCTGAATCAACAGTGTTGAATAAAAATCAATCATATATTTCAAAAATCTGGAGTTAACTAAGGTAGAATAACTTGATGGATATGTGATTACATTGCAGTAGTACATTATTTTGAGCAGTTGAGGTGTTTTTTTTTTTAGTTATCGCAGCAGTTTCTTACGACAAATCAAGCCAGCTGTGCGAATTGGCTTTCACGCCTATGTCTGCCGATGATGGCTGTTGCTTATACAAGTAGCAACTTTGCTCAAGTCGTACGTTTAGGAGGTTGCTTGTTGAGAGACATTGGAAAACGGACTGAGGAGAAAGGAAGTAAGGATAACATTGATGAAAAAGGTGTTTTTTTTAAATTTTTGGCATTGCTTGCTGTTTGTACTAATAGACATAATGTATATCTTGAGATATTTATGTAAGCGAATAAGTGCTTGAATGATTGCATATGTTTCAACTAAATTGAGATCAGCAATTGAATGTATTCATACTGCAGGTGAAATAAATTCCGTTGCTCACACATGTATTACATGGATGGTAAAAGCACTGATCGATTTGGGTCGTCCTCAATCAATATTGGGTCTACATGCTTGGGTAAAGAACATTTATGGTAAACAGTATGTGTGGATAAAATGCGCAGCTCATATGGCTGCTGGAAGGTAAATTTGGCATGTAGTGAACGAATGAATTAATTTAATATGTCAGGAATGTTTTGAAATTTGTATTTCCTTTTCTTATCTTGAATTCCTAAAATTATTTTTAGGATCGAGTTTGCTTTGAATGGTTTGCAAGAATGTCTGCGTAATGAGAATTCATCCGAAAATATACAAAAAACTATACGACAGCTAGTAAATTTGTTCATATTCTGATTGTTTTTCGTTCGTTTCATATTTTTTCATTTTATAAGGTATGTATTTTTTCACTCAGGTTTAGTACTTCAGCTTTTCTAATTTTTGAAGATCATATTTGGCCTAGAAGTTCTTCGGAATTCGGAAGAAATTGATTTATTTTGGCGAACGTTGTACGGTGTTCTGGATTCCAAACCAGATGAAATCCCGGATGGTTTCGAAGAGCTTACATGGAAGAGGTAGTCATTTTAGTAGATCATTTTAATAGATTTCACTTGATATTTGAATTTTTAAATTTTTGTTATTTGAGTTGTTTAAACTGAGGATAATTTGAAGTCTTGAATATCAATACTTACTGAATAGATGACAGATAAAAAGTATAAAAAAAATCTTCACTTGTGATTAACATTTCTATACTGAAACTGTGGCTGTTTAAAAGGAAACTGTGGCTATTTTTACTCCAGCGAGAGGAATTGAAGTCTACTTTATAGCTTTGTCGATCTTTAGACATCATCTAACTTAATTTACATCTGAGTATAGTGGTACTTTCTTGGAGGTCTTGGAGGTATATCTACTATAGTATTTGAGTTCAGTAAAACAGAAATAAAAACGCTCTTTCTGATTTGCGATTTTTTCTTTTTTTTTTTTTTGAAAACTTTTTTTCCAGGATGAAATCACTGACAACGTTTGATAATTGTTTAAAGGATGAATCAGTAATGTCAGTGCCATGGGACATCCGAAACAGCTTCATTCACACAGAATTGAAATTGATGGAGATAGTTCACGATTATTCCAGAGATTCTAAAGACAACAAGTATACTTCATAATTTCTTACTGCAAAATTAAAATTGTTCAAACTTCAATTTCAATTATTTGTAGTTAATGAGTGTGCTTTCACAGAACTGATGTTGTTGATTTGACGCGACAGCTGAGTGAGGATGCGAGAATTTTGCTGTTAGCGGATACTGGTTTGCAGATCTTTACACGTGCGAGCGCATTGCATTTATTGGCTACTGCTGTGAAGGATAGTCGAAAACCTTATCATAAACAATCAGTAAGTAATAATGAAATATGGTTTGAATAAAGCGGTTAATAGCTTTTGTATTGTGCGATAGCAGCAAATTTCTTCATTAATATTGCGTTGTCTATTAAATAATTTAATGTTAATGTTGCTTTGAGACATTTTTTTTTTCAAAAATACTCAAAAATGAAGATGAGATGTCTCGAAAATCAACATTTGAAGTTTTAAAGTTTTTGAGGCACTCAAATTTTAGGTTATTGCCAATGTGGTCGATCCATCGTTCCTTTTCGACTGGAAGAATGGGTCACCAATACAGCGTCTTGCTCTAGGTCAACAATTAAGTACCTGGTTACAGTATACACAAAATAGAGAGAATGGTGGATCTTCATCACTTCGAATAATTTCCAACGAAGCAGCTTATCACCTCGAAATGACGAGACTAGCTCGAAAGACAAAAAATTATCGATTGGCAGAAAAGCATATCAAAATACATTACAATAAACGCCTTCCAACACTTGACAGCTTCCAACTAAGTATTTTGCGTGTAAGCGATGATTCTTTTGATGAGTAGTAACTTTCCAAAAACCAAACTTTAACAATCTCGACGTGCAGAATAATGATTCTTTTGAATTAACCTCAATGTTGGACGTTTTTATTAGAGAAATTAATAAAATAATATCTATGTAGGGAATGCAAGGAAACTGGATCAGTGGAGCAACTGATAAGGAAAACAAGCTAACAAATAATGTAACTGCACAGCTGTCTATGCAGCAGAGACTATACAATTTCGAAAATCTTACGTCCAGTTATGGTTTATCGAAAATGGTTAGTAGATGTTTGGTGAATACATTTAAAAAAATTTTCATCTACTCTTACTACTGCTTGGATGTAAAAGTTTGCAGGACTACGATTTACTATCTTACATGATAATCGAATTTTTTAGCAAAATTTTGAGGAAACTATTTAGATGTGGTCGATGTCAGAAATGGCGGATACTGACCGTGCTCGTACTTTTTTACGAGGAAAAGCGTTTTCCTTACTGATGAACGCTGTAGCTGATGAAATTGACCGATTGATTTATAAAAGTAATTTGATGTTCAATGGTACACCAACTGTAGCGCCAGATACTCTCATTGCTGTTCTGACACAGCAGCTTAATCATGCTACCATTGAAGTAGTTTTTTCCTTATGTTTTTCTTTTTTTTTTTTTTTTTTTTTTTTTGTAATTTATTTCAAATTATTGTGAGAATTTTACAATGTCATTAATAAAAATCAGAAGTGTATAAAATTTACTATTTTTTGACGACTATACATCACTTACATTTGATATATTTGAACTGTATTCACTCTGTTGCAAGTAATCTTTTGGTTGTCAATTATACAAAAACCATGTAAACTATTAAAAATTATTATTTGCTGATATATTGATTAGGTGCTGCAATATTATTTGATTTTTTTGTGTTTTACAGAGAGGCTGTTATGGAAGCGTTTGATCCATCAATTTTCTTCATTCTCTTGATCGATCACTCATGTGAATTACACGTGAAATGTTACATTTCAGGATTCAGCTGTATTATCAATAAGACCCAATATTGTGGCAAATAACCATCATCAGGAACAAAAAGCTTCTGCAAAAGCAATCATTCAGCTTGCGCGTTGGTTGCAAATGGAATCTAGTTTGTTGCCGGTAGCTATGAGCTATTCGATTCGTATCGTTTTTCATATGTTTGGAGTTGAACAATCTCGACTACCAGTACTTGGCCCATCTGGTAATATTTGAGATTTAGTTTCAGCAGAATAATTCGTAGTAATTCGCATATCTGTTAGTTTAATTGAAGTTATGATTATGACTTTGAAAATCTCAAATTAATTCATTTTCCTGTACCTCTGGAGTTCTTCATACTATTAAGTTTTCTTCCATCATTCAGGCATCATTGACTCACTTGCTGGTGCTCTTTTGAGTACATCATGTAAGTTATCACCACATTTGGCGAAAGCTCACCTGGAACTGGGTAATTGGGCATTTAAAAGAGCAACTGATGCTGACAATGAAATTAGATTGTCATTCATCAATGAAGAGTGTGACACAATGAAATGGCAAATTAAGGTTTTTTTTTTCTAAAATTGTTTCCTAAAAATTGTTTCCATTGTTTTCTAAAAGTTAGGAGGAAGGATGTTCCGATTTATTACTGTAGTAATATTATTTATTCTTGAAATTAAGAACTTCATCTGCTACTTTGGTGATTTGGTGATTCATCAATATCATCATTTCGTGATGGAATTTCTTGAACTGTAAGTATATTGGACATCTTAATTACTACAGCAGTTAGGAAGCAAACATCTCTTTTAATTTCATTTTGTTGAATTTATTTCAGATAATTATTATGAAACTGCATTAAAATTATTTTTCAGAACGCGTGCACATCAGTAGATGATTCGGTTGTAGAAAATCTGTTGCAAACAATGCAGAAGTGTACTAGCTTAGCTGCAATTTTACCGAATTGCAAGGCTGTTGTAGGAAATTCAATTAACGAACAGACATGCGATTTGTTAGTTGTGATATATACATATATATACATATATATATATATATATATATATATATAATTCATCCTAACAATGTTTTATATCTCATCAGCATTTAGTAACTGTTATTTTATAATGGGACTATTCAGACACGTTCTATAACTCAGATTTTCTTAAAATTAGAACTGAAGAAGTGGTTAAATTCTAATTCAGTAGCCAAAAAAAACAGTTTATGCAGTAAATTCGAGCAAGTAAGTTTCAGGCTGTTTGGTCCGAGAAGCATCGTTCAAGAAATTTGGAAAGGAGCAAATTCACGTCATTTGGCTTTTTGTAATTGTGCAGCACATTCATACTTCGCTTACATTGCTGTAAATGGGCGTGAAGCAAAAGAGGTTGATATTCGTAAAATTTAGGCAGCTAATGAATTCTCATAATGAACTACACTATTTTCCTCATTAATTTTGCACTACAGGGAACAATTGGAGTAGTGATGGCAACTTTACGAATTTTACAATTATTGGTAAAACAGTACGATGCTTTGCATCACTTAATTCTCACTGAAATGCTTCAAGTAAACGAATTGATGTGGAAAGGTAACGAATTGGAAAGTGTTATCACGTATTGAGTTTTAATATCTTAAGCTAAACTGTGCTTAATAAACTCTAGTCCCTTAAAGATAGCGTGGGAAGGTTAGCAATTTTATTTTGCTGGAATATAGATGGTTTAACTACTTTTTAATCTGCATCCTGTTTTGGAGATATATTTTTTTTTCTGTGCTGCTTTAATCATTATTGTTTCTAAAGTCACCCATCGGATCTTTTTTTTTTGGATTTCTAAGAAAATAGTAATTTAACTTTCTTATTTTAAAAATGCAGAAACAGTTATTTCTTTTATAGATGCATAATTTCTATGTTCAAGTGATTTGTTTTTTCAGATATTCTTCCACAGTTATTTGCGAGGCTAAATCATCCAGTGCGTGCAGTGCGTGACACGCTTTGTACTATACTGGAAAGAATTGCAGCTACATCACCACATGCACTTTGCTATCCGGCAATAGTTGGTACTACTCAACCCATTGTTATTCACAACGAATACGTTGACAATGGTGAAGTGGAAAAAAATGATTTCGTTGATGTTATCGATGAAGAGAAGAAGAAACGTGCTGATCAGGTTTATTATGAATTAATGAACTGACATTTTATATTTAGTCATAAATTATCACGAAATGACTATAATCACGAAAAATAAAACTCGGCTGAAGTAGGGAGTTAATGATGTTATAAATTAAACAAGAAAATTGATGTAATGTTCTTCAGGATCGATCATTAATGTTTGAATGTTGTCAACGTATTGTAACTCGAATGCAGGCGTTGTTTCCCGATCTTGTCAAGGATGTTACTGAATTCGTTAAGGTTGTTATTCTGTGGCTAAATAGGAAATTGGACTGCCATGGTGGATTAATTTAAGACATAACTGGTTTATAGGAATTGCAAAGGATTGACATGTTACATGAAGAACGTTGGACTTTTGTTTTAACAAATTTGGATCTCGAAATGAATCGTCGAATTTTGCAAATTGAGGAAGAAATGATGAAAACACTGATGAATACACATTTAAGTGATGATGAAAAGAAGGACATTATTCACGAGAAGACAATCATATTTACATCTTTGGTAATACATTTGCACGTTTATCTTAGACATTTAATTCAAATTAAATATTTGGTTTAAATAAGGGTTGAAATTAGGATTTCAATTAAGGCAATATAGATACAAGTGTCTTTGTTTAAGAAATTGATTTACTGAAATTCAGAGCAAAAGTTTTGCTTTTGCGCGTGTTCCTTTAGCAGTGAATTTGTGCTAGGTGTTGTACCTATTCCGTATTATCTATAGAAAGAAACTCTAGAAATCTTCAGTACTTCACTGAAATATGAAATGAGATCTAGCATTTCCTGTTCCATTACCATTTATCAAATGCTGATAGGATGAAACATGTTGGAAGAGTAGAAACCGTAGTGGGATAAAGTATAACAAAATTTACACTCTTTAAAAATTGCTTCCAGTTTAAAACAATTTCCTCCAGGTTTACCGTATTGTCGAGAACTTATACGAAAAAACGTGCACCAGTGTACCTGTGACAATAAATGAAAAGCAATTTCAAGATGCATACCTTGCGACTATTGAAGAAGCTATGAAAACTCTTCGACGGAATAGATCAGAACCACGCCAAGCCTGGGCTTCATTCAAACTTGTAATTTTTCATTTTCTTATAACTCTCGAAAAGTGAGCATAATGAAGCAGTTGTAAATATAACTGATTATTAGAATCGATAGGATTTAGTAATTATTTCATGATTTTTTTAATGTTATCGGAATTTGAGATTATTCTTATATAGGTTTTAAAAAATTTAACTTTTCTTCAAGTACTTCCTAAATCTTTTTTTTTTTTTTTAAGAAGGAGAAGGAACGGGCACATACAAAAAAGTAGGAGTTCTGTTATTTTTCTCTTTCTTATACATCTTATTAGGTTTAAATAATATATTAGAACAGTTCTTAACATTGTATATGACATTGAGTTGTAGTTATTAACGCAGTTAAACCAGCGGGCAAACAGGCGATCATTCGTGTTTCTTCAAATGGCTGATATTTCGCCACGTCTTACTGCATTAAATAAAACACATGTTTGTTTTCATTTCAATCACTTGCATTTTTTAGGCTTTCTGATTTGGTTTTTTAATTGATTTTAGTTTAATGCATTTTGACTTTTTTCGTTAGGAAAGAAGTCAACATGTTCCTAATGGTCGGGTAAAAAGGAAGGACCCATATTCACGGAACTATTTGACATCTTGTGGAGCCAAAGAAATAGCTTTAATAGTGTATTATTAACGCAGATTTTTACATTGAGTGATTTGGTTATGAATTTTTGATAGTTACAGGTGCCACTTCCTGGGCAAGAACATAAGAATTTCTGTGATGTTGTAATGCTGGAAAGAATTAGCAAGCAGACAGTAATACTACCAACTAAAACGCGACCGAGGAAAGTTGTGTTTCATGGGTCAGATGGGAAGGAGTAGGTTTTTGCATTTCATATGATTATTCCGTTAAAAAGTGTATTTAGTTAGCAATTATGACCAGTGCATGTATGAAACAAGTGCGTTTTTTTTGAGATCATTTACAAATCACAGAGATTTTTTCATCAAGATTTTATGAACAGCTATTGTTGAGATATGTTTTTGTCGCTTTTCATATTTTTTGGTCAGCTTGGTTTAATTTTTTCAATGATGAGGGTATGGCAATGAAATGCTCAGAAATTCATAATTAGAAATTGAAATGTTTTTCTAAAATTATTATTTTGAACATATTCTCTTGAAAAAAAAAAAAGGTTTGCATTGCAGTTATCCTTTCCTTTTCAAAGGACAGGAAGATTTACATTTGGACGAACGCATTATGCAGTTATTGCGTATTTGTAACTTGATGCTTTCGACAAAGGAAACTGATTGGCCATCTTATATAGCCGAAAATTATTCGGTCATCCCTCTTGGCTCTCGTTCAGGCCTTATCGAATGGGTTGAAGGAGCGACGCCTATCTTTCAAGTTTATCGAAAATGGCAGCTTCGTAAAGCAGCTGAAAATATGGCAAACCAGAAAATAAATGAGGTCGAAAGACCGAGTGCGTTATTTTTCAGAAAACTCAGGGCAGCTTTCCAAGCTAACGTAAGTTCGCAATATTCTTTTTTTTTTTTAAATTTTCATATTCATCTCATTAAGATATTCTCGGTTTCAGTGCCATGTTTGCAGCTGCTTCAGTTTCATTTGAGAACTCATTAGTTCTTGAAGATTTGAGTACTTCAGAGCTACTTGCATTGAGTTGATACGAGTCTGTTTTGCTTGAATTTTGCTTAAAACTTTTGGGTTTCTTGATCATTGTTATTTTGTAAAGCATTCTGGACAACTGTTATCTGTAAAACTTTAGAAAATCCCAAAAGAATCCATCACTGATCGCCAAAAATGGCCATATCCTGTGTTAAAAGGTGTTGTTGAAGATTTAATCGAAGAAACTCCTCGAGATCTACTTTCACGGTACATTGTTCAACCGAGCTTATTTTTTAATCTAGAACTTTATTTATGGCTTATTACTTCAATTTGCGAAGCATTTGGTAATTTTTTTTGTAGTTTCAAATATGTTTCAGGGCACATGTTAGCTTTAACTTAACAAAACAGAAGTGACACAAACTTTGGTGAATAAACATTACACATGACTGAGATGTGTGATTTTTTAAGGGAGTTCTGGCTTCGAGCTGGTAGTTCAGATACATGGTTCCGAGTCACTGAAAGGTTTGCTCGATCAACAGCAGTTATGTCGGTGTTAGGCAGTATCCTGGGTCTGGGTGATCGCCATCTGGATAATGTTCTAGTTAATTTTGAATTTGGACATGTGGTCCATATCGATTATAATGTCTGCTTTGACAAAGTATGACAAAGTTCTTTATTATTAGGAATTTACACGATATTATTTATATATTGATTGATGTCTTTTTTGTCTGCATTGACGAAGAAAGCTAACTAATGTTAGAAAACTGAAAAATCTTTAGGGACGGAATTTGCGCGTACCAGAAATGGTACCATTTCGTTTAACAGGAAATATTGTTCGAGCTCTTGGTCCTACTGATATTGAAGTAAATTTTTAAATTCGGTTTCATATTTGTGTAGAACTTTCTGTGTATTTTAATTTAGATTTCTTAACTCATTGGAAGCCTATTTATTCTTATTACATTCTTAATTAAAAGGTAAACTTGGATTTTGCAAATTGGATCCCAATTTTACTAAAAATAGCTTAGTTTTAAGGGGACTTTTCGGCTTTCCTCCGAAAATGTGTTAAGGAAACTCCGTGCTGGGAAGGAAATATTACTGACGATGCTGGATGCATTTGTTTACGACCCATTAGTTGATTGGGCTGCTGCACAAGATGATCTCGGTTCCAAGTCAATGATTGGTATTGCGACATTCATTGCCGTATACGGTTCAGAGTTTTACACATATTCTTGATAATCATATCTTCTGTTATTATTACTGGTAAAATGAAAAAAGGTCTTGAAAAACATATATTTTCAGATTAATAAATTTAAATTGTTGTTGATTATTAGGTGCTTCTTTAGGGGTAGTAGATGGCCATTCTGATATTTTGCATGCAATGACTCTGTCACTGTTGGCTCTTCGTGCCAGAGAACTCTCTTCTTCATGGCTTGATAACAGGTTGATTAGAAACATATTTTTATATGACCTGTTGCCATCGCATTTTTTAAGAAATTGTCGAGCATTCCATGTTTATATTTATTATTTTTTGATCAGTTTTGACACAGGCTATTGAATTATTATTTCAATTTTCGGTTATAAGTTGATCGCGGTGAAACCAATTAATAGAACTTTTTTTGCAGAAATCATCTTATATGTATGCTATCGTCCATTATAAGCATACTAAAGAAAATGTACGAAAATACTCAAAAAGATGCGGAAAGTCGACCTCAGAATTGGGAAGACGAAATAAATAAACTGGAAGTGGAGAAACTATCAATTGAACGTGATTTGAAAAAGGCAGTTGCAGAACATCATTCTATGATGCATGATATACGTCCTCTGCTTCGTTCTTTCGCTCATGCAAGTTTTGATTTAGCAAGCATATATACCAAGTCTGAATTTTCTTTCCATTAGATCTGATTTAGATAGAAAGTCGATGATTTGAATATTTCTATGCTTGAAATTTTGAAAGAAAACTTCTAATTTTAATTATGAAATGGATATTTACTCGCATGGATTTAGGCAAACAGTAACACAGTGATAAAATGCTTTAATGAAAAATTTACTAGTTTGTTGCTCGTTCTTGTCAGAGATGACAATATGTTAATTATTAAACTGCCGAGCAATAATTAGCAATGATAATTATTCAAAATAAGAAAGAGTTTCGTCAGATAGTTGTGGTTTGGTCGTTGATAATATCGTTTGGTAAGAACTTTACAGTTGGGACGCTTATTTTATTGTGAAGTCTTCATATGTTTATATGGTATTCACAAGAAAATAAGTATCAAAATAGTATTACTTGTTGATTTTTACTCCTTTATTGTGAATTCCAAATGTTTCAGAAAAATGAATCATTTGCTATTTACTTGCAACGATACAAAGAATTATTCAGTGAACCACTGATCAAAGGACTTAAGTTATTGGATGATCCATACAGTAATTGTGCTGCATGCATCGATCTTTTTTTGTCTGTTATTGACAATATCCCAAGGTTTGTCTTTATTTTTCATAATTGAAGTTTGAGAATCGGCAAATATTTTTTTTATTCTATTTCTAAAAGCTGAAATAACCCTCTGCAAACAGTTCATTCTGCGCTGCACCTCGCTTGAATGACATTTCAGTATCTACGACAATTTATTATTGCTGGAAAAAATGAAAGAAAGAGAAGAATTGCCTCCCTGCAATGGCAAGTCTTCACCAGTGGAACATCATAAAGGTAAGATTATTTTAAATGATAAATGGTAATTTTAAATGATTATAATTCTTTTGGTATATCAATGGATTTGAAGGACAGCAGCAGCAGAATTTACATGGTAAGCATGTTTCAAAAAGAATACGGATGAAATTAGAAGGAATGGTTACTCCTGGCATCAATAAAAACGAAAATACAAAAATTGATGCAAACATTGTAAGCGAACCGTTGACACCATCAGAACAGGTATGCTAAATTTCGAAGTTTGAGTTTCATTGAAAGCTTTGGGATTCATTAGCACTGTTTATATTTTTTTGTTTCAGATTGACTTATTAATTCAACAAGCGACGGATATAAGTAATTTGGCATTGATGTATGAGGGGTGGACGGCATGGGTGTAATGTATCTGCTTTTATCAAGCAGGTTTGTGTTCTGATAAGGTGAGTACTTTGTTTTTGCTTTTAAACAATAATTTGTTTTTTAGTTATTTGATGATGATTCTTTCCTCCTTTTAAATAAGGGTTTAGGACCGTTGGATAAGCTAATTGTAATTACTACTTTTCATTACTGGTAAAGTAGAGGGTTTACATATATAACTTGAAACGTTGCTTATTCTAAATTGATACTTTCGTAAGTGACAACTAACTCTGCAATGCCCAGCGAAAATTGGCTTTACACAGCTAAACGAGGTATTCTCTGATTACTACTTCACACAAGTTTATTCAGTAGAGCTTTCAGTATTACCTCTCATGATTGCTTATTACGAGGCATCTGAATTATTTATTGTGTTATAGCAGCGCGCTGTGAGAAATATTAGTTATTAATTATGCATAATTTATTATGCTGACTTTATTACAGGCAAAAATCTCGTTTACATGGTCGACTTTGCCCACACGAACAAATAAAGTGGGCGTTTCCCTCATATCGTAACATCACTCAAAACCAAAGCATCTGGAAGTCATTTATGCTTCCAAAAATGAGTTCATCAACAAGCAGGTAAAATCTTGATTATACACTGTAATGCTACTTAACGACATCATCATGTTGTTAATTGCTTCTTCACCTATCGATGCATGGATGATGGACTTTTACGCGAACTCCTGAAAAGGTGTGGGTTGCGCACGATGCTTATCGGAAGTATGTGGGGACATGTTTTGTTGTGATTGGTTCATTGGGCCAATGTATTCTGGTTCTTCATAGAGATACAAAGATGCAAACGACTTCAAAAAAAATCTCTTTTCATGTTTGTTAGCTGTTGTTTTCGGCTTTGCTTATGTATCCTCATTTGAAAAGCAAATTTTAAGAAATTCTTCTAAGCTGTAAGTCACGATTTGGAAGAGCCTATTTGGCTGGTGTGAATTGGGCAAGAAGTTTGATAACTTAGAATAACATGAATTATTTGATTTGGATTTATCGCATGATTATTTTCAATTATTGGACTTTAGGAATTACATGAATTTTGTGTGTAGAAAAAAATTTGCTATATTTTTGCTGTATAAATTAAATACTACCAAATGATTAAATGTCTGTTATGTAAAGGTGGTAACTTGGCATAATTTAGCCACATTGAGCTAGACTAGTGGAGGATTCTAGAGGTTTGCCTTACTTGTATGAATCTGCACAAAATTAGAAACGTTTACCAGATATTGATACATCATTCTATGTCGTGCAATTTTAATTTTTTTTGTTTTAATTCTATTTGGTAACTTTTTCTTTGCAATAGCTATTTACTCTCTCCTATAATTCATATCTGAATTCTTCTTATTTCGAAGTCTTGTTATTTAGAGGACAAACATATATATTTGTAGTATGATTTTATGTCTTCGAAAAATATGATTCTTTGTTCATTTCCATTTATTAGTTGCTTAATAATAATTTTTTTACTTTCGAGCATAAAAATCGGAATAAATTCTTTTTTACGGTATGAACATACATGGGGAGCATAACCTTCCAGTTCCACTTCTATTGTAGAAATACCTCTCATGATTTGTTTTAGCTCTCTACCTTATTCTTCAAACCATTCGGAATTTACGGAAGCTATAATTACAGAATGAAGGTGGATTTCAGAATATCACGTGTGAATCATCCTAGTTTGTTCTGTTGTGGTGAATTGCTATTTACAATATTTTATTGGTAAAAGAAATATGTAATATCGCATAAAATATTGCTGCTAATATTTATGAAGAGTGAATTGTTTTCAACCATCATTTTCCCTTCCAAAAAGAAGGGTGGAAGGTCTTTGAAAGAGGCTTCAAAGGGTAATCGCATATTGAGTGACTTTATTATCTGGAAGGTTGAATTTGAAATTTCTTAAGAGAATAGAATATGTCGCAATGTCTGCATTTAGTCAGCTCATTGAAATTAAAATATCGGATGATAATACGAAGAAAAATACTTTTTCCTATTTATAAAAAACATAGAAGAAGCAAATCTCATTGAGGTCTTGTGAAAAAGTAGTGAAGCTGGGAAAGAGGCAGCAGCGTGAGATATTCCACTTGCAGCTTTTCAATGTTTAAAGTTACTGAGTGATTGTTTGGAAAGATCGAGAATAATGGTAAACCTTTACTTCTAAGTCGCTGCTTTGAAATAAGCTAAGATGAAAAAGCGTGATGCATCTAAAATTTGGTTTGCAGCACTTTGCCAAATGTACTTATTTTGGTTTGAAGCGTGTTTTAAAATGAGAACTGCTGTAATGCATATGCTGCATTGTTTGTTTTTGTCTTATTTTGCGTTACTTTTACATTCATAAAAGGATTTTATTTAATCAAGTCAGAAGGTCTCGGTACATTTACCTGATTAAAATTCATTGCTTTGAATGGAATTAGAACAGACCTGTTGTCATAATTCGGGTTATTAGGTTTGGAATTAGAAGTTTCATAAATCATCTGGCTTGGCTTTCGTAAATGCTTTCGTAAAAATGCATTTGGCTGGAAAGATCAATGCGGATAGGCATTCTGTTGCAAAATGTACAATGGAAACTCATAATGAATTCTTAATCCATTATCTTCATAAAACAGATTGTGTGCGTTCTCGAAAATGGTGGCAGTTGTAGGGTGGTAAGTCCATGTGTCTCTTGATTAGAGTCCGAAGTAGAGTATTGACGGTAATTGATGTGTTTTAAACTTACACTTCTTCTCTGAGGCATAGTTGTGGTAGTCAGTGGCAAGTTTACCATAAAAATTTTAGGTAGGCAATCTTACATCCTAAATCTTGACATGCCTAGGATAGGTAGAATGCTGGACTGATTAAATAAGCTTGCCCTGAATAATCTGTCTGTGATGACATTAATATAGGACTGCTTCCTTTAAACTAACGTTTAGTCCAGAAGCTCTGCATAAGGTGATGTGAAGTTTCGATGTCTTTTTTCTTGGATGGGCTTCCGTCAATAATGAATGTAAATAGCTTTTTCTGCCGTGACTGTTTGAAAAAGTAATGTGAATACGACTGGTTACTCGTTCATTATCGAGAAAGACTCAGAAAGTAAACCACCATATTTGATTGGTTGCACTGGTCATTGATCATCTTGAAGAACGTAGGGTTACGGCAGGAGAAATATCCTAATCGTTGCAAGATTTGCCATCTTCTCTATCGGAGAAGTAAGTTACGTAGAATCCTTTGTTCTCATATTTCTCTCGCAATTTTCTATTAGCTTTGAAGGCACATTAGTCACTACTTCTGTCATTTAGTTGTCACTAGCCCTAGCCTATTAGAAATATTGCAAGGATTTTATCAGCTGCAGAGAGTAAAGTAATACTTCGATAGTTTGATGTCGGTCTTTTTTCCTTCTTACATAGAGGGATGATGATTGCATGTTGGAAATCTTGAAAGTTTCAACAGTTTGCAATAAGCTCGTGGAGTTTAGCATGAAATACTTAACAATCTCCATGATTTCGATGAATTTCATCAATTTCAGATGCTCTACAGATTTTAAATGCTACACGGCTTTGGAAAAATTTTCTACTGTATGCAGGACGAAAAGGTATTTTTCTTGCTTGAAAGGAGGGTAAGCGTACTATGTGAGCAGCCCTCTTCGTGGATAACAGTTCTTGGATTTGTAGATCGTTTTCACTGAATCAATCTTTAGATTTCTTTGATGAGAACTCAATACATTTTGCGCAGGAATGCTGGATGCTATTTCTGGTGAGCTGCCAAAGTGTTGCAGAGGAGGAATTTATGAGATGGGAAGTGTAGCAATTGCAAGATTGTTGGCTTTGAAAATGGAGGTTGAGTTGTGTCGTACAAGGCAGTGGTCTGCCTCGTCTGCTTGATACTAGGGATCACTCGATATAAATATCGCGAATATACCTTTGGCGATGTGCCAGTGTTTAGAATTAAAGTTCCATAAATTCAAAATTGATAAATCACTGTTTTAGGTGCAGTATTTACTTTAATCTGATAACCTTTCTTCCTTCGGACAATGAAGTGAAAGCAAAAGCACGAAACACAAAATATATACTTTCGGATGCATTTCCAATTAAGCAATAACATACGGTAGGCTATTTCCTCGATATATTGCTCTTCATTGTTCGATTTTGTTAGAAGTATGCTAGAGCATTTATGCTTCTTTAAAAAAGGGAAAAAGAAGTAAGCAGCAGACATTTGTAGGCTCAAAGCTTGTCCGAGCCTGCCAATTCTTCAAGTATGACTTATTTATATCTTATGGGATCAACTAATGGGAAAAGAAAACTGGATAGATGGAGCATTATATACATACCATCAAGATCCACCCATTCATTTCAAAGTCATCACTTCAGTCCTGAAATTGTCACAGCCTATGCCTGCGTACTTCTGCTTGTCTCTGCATATGCGTCTTTATTTCTCCATTTAAAAACAAAAGAAAAATGTCATTACCATCACCACTAATATCACTAACATTGTTATCACTGTGCGTTGTCATCATCTTGTCATTGCCATTGGTAAGTTATTTTATTAAATATATCAAATATAGAAGTCGAAGACTTCTAAGCCTGAATTGAAAAGCTTGGACAATTTAGAGTTTTATAGAGAAGTATGAATTCAGAGAAAAATTTCTGTTTTCAATTCAGTCTCCTCATTGCTTATTTAGTAGCTACGAAAAATTGCAAAATTTGGGGATTTTTTTTTTGGTAAGCATTTTTCTTCTTTGAAGAAAAAAGTTGTTACGGATGCAAAAGATCTGAATGTTATTTCAATTCAGCTAAAAGTAAAGTGTGAAAAACATATGAAAAACAAAAAGCTTAGAAATTCGCAGTAGAACAAAAAATTCATACCAAAAGGTCACCAGTATCCTGAGTGAATTCTCGTTCTAATGATTCAGTCTTTTTTCAGAGCAGTAATTACCAGTTATCAACAAGCAGACATTTACCGCTACGTCTCAGTAAGTTTTCTGATCAATAACATTTAAAAGGTTAAAGGATTTTGC